ACTAAGTAATCTTTATGGTACACACAATGAAAAAGAAATACACATTAGCTCTTGAATAAACAGTTGTTTTCAGGCGGTCTTACTCAGTAGATACTGCCAGGCACCGTCCCACATGCAAAGTGAACAAGTCGACAGTAGTCTTTAGATTAAAATTTTATATTTCAAAAACTTTTAGAGGAAATTTTAAATAATTACAATATTAAAAGTGTTTTTTGAATGACACCAAACTGATTTCACTAGACAATGAATCGTTCGAGTGGGTGTCGGTATCAACTGTCAAGCCCCATTTGATTCCACGATTAATAGAGAGCAATAGTAACGTGGTCACACACTAGTGCAACACATATGTGTGCGTAGTGCAGCGCTTGATGCGGTTGCGGTCGCAGCCGCCGCCCAGCTGTCTGATCGTTTTACTGACATGTGAGACTGTTCGTACGAGCTCCCATTTTAATCATGTGTTTTATTTAACTATCACCGTAGCAAACGGCGGAAGGAAACGTGCTTTCGAAAATACCTTCAAAAAATATTGCGCGCAGTCAGTACAAATTTTACGTTTAAAAAGAGGAGGTACAATACAATAGCAATATTTGTAATAAAATAATTTTTATAGCTGCAACCATTATTTCTCGGATAGGCTATTATAAGTAAGCCAATTTTTTTGTCGTTCGCATATAAATTTTATATGTCAAATAAACTAATTCGTGACAGCTTTCTAAGAAATTACTACTAATAGCAAACTACACGTTACAAAAAAAATACATATTCCATTAAATACAAATATCATTTAAGTTGAATGGCATACCAATCTAATGGCATAATTATCAGCGATAACTTTGATTTTTATTGTCTAAAAGTTAACATAAAAAAATCAGCGGGAAATCTAATTCTTATTTTTTAGGGCGTTGAACTCCGCTAAGGAAAGCAAATCACCGAGCCAACAGTTTGTGGGTCACCTGCGGTGTGTGGTGCCAGATTGCTGTATCGGTGACTCGTCAGACATTTATGAAAGAGCGCCAGGTGTCTCGCCGGTGCATAAACAGATGCAGCCGGATGTTGAGTCTACAAGTCTTGGCTACCTCAATTCTTTAATGAAAACATCTTATTTTTTAAAAATCTGTTTCCATATTTCGGTTTTTAGATACCTCTTTTAATATTGGAATTGGTATCACAGATTGCATTTTTTTATGTTTATAAACGGCTGTAATTGAAGTTTATAATCTTTATTATAGTATTAACAGAAGTAAGGGTTTCCGAAAATGAAAAAAAATAATATTTTTGTATCAGAAATAACGTGTGAAGATATATCTATATAACAGTTAATAATATCTAATATTACTAGCCTAAATGACGATATAGCTTTGCCCGCGAATTCGTTTTACTAATTTTAATAAAAAAAATTGTGAGTCTTCAAGTCAGTTTCGAGAATGGTTTAGATCCACATTGATTAATTGATTTTTGAGCCTCAAAAATTTCATTCAGCTCGTCTTGTTTAAGTTGAATTAAGTGTACCCAATAAACATATATACCAATAATAACAGTAAACTGATTGATTTTTTTATTATATCAGCTTAAGACACTAAAGAAACGTTGATAAAATGGTTTTAACGATTGAAACAGTAAAGTCACTGCGCAGTATGTCTAATTTATCCCTTACGTACACGCTTTCGTTTACGCACGTCAAAACTCAACGCAATTTACCTGTACATTAAGAGCAATTGAAACGTTATTTGTGTACGACTTCCTTATAAACGCATGATTAAGTCTCAATTTGAAGCTCATCTTTTGAGAAGGGAGAAGGGACGGACGGAATTATTTGCGGCCAACCGCGCCCTATTAAAATTATGTCATTATTTGATCGAATCTCTATTCGAGACTACGTGACGGTCAAAATTGAGATCGAAATAGAGGCAGATTTGGGGCGATCCTAGATAAGTAAGTAGTTTTATTCGTGTAATGTATAAATACAGCGCGGCCAGAAGATGTACTTTCAATGGTAACGCCTCTCGCTGACTCACGGTAAAACCGTAGACGCCCATGCAGACAGTGAAATAAATTACAAGTTTTACTGTCTTATTGTTGCTGTCTAAACCAAAGCGGTACTCGCGACGTTTTATTTATTGCGTGTGTCGTAAAATTCGAATTTGTTTGGGTGCGCTCGCGTACGATTGACGCAGACAGTATTAAGTCTGGCAGAAGTCCAGGCCTTTCCATCTGGCCGGTGGCTGACGACAATTAAAACCATACACTCGTCCAATCAACTGTCATCGATATTACAGATATGACATAGATATTATAACGAAATAAAGAATATGTTCCTGTAACTATTTCGAATCAAATATCAAACTCTTTCACATATTATGTTTTATTTCGCGCTAAGTGTGATGCTTTTGTTATCTTGAAATACAATATGACTGCTGATTTGACTATTTTAGAATATTGCGTCGTTACCTTCGGTATAAACGATGAATATTTTACGTCATTTTGCCTACGCTATTGCTTTTCCAAGAAATTTTTTGATTTCCTTCAACGATTTTTACGTTCTGTATGTGATATATTGTTCATAGGTTATTTAGTTCATTGAAGTATTAATTTCAAATAAAAATAATGAGTGCAATTGTAAAGAATTTACATTATTTCAGAGATAAATTACAAAGAGCATACTACCTTTGATGTAAGTTTTATAACCCCGTTTTTTTTTTTTTTTTATGTGTGAAAAGTAGCCAAGCGAGCAAACGGTTCACTTGATGTTAAGTGAATACCGCCGCCCATGGACATCTGCTAAACCCGAGGGTGCCAGATGCGTTGACAACCTTTTGAAAATTGGGCTCCGGCCACCTCACTCACCAGACGAAATGCGAAGGTATTATAGTTCCACTTTACGCCGGTCTTCCGTGATGTCGTGGTACTTACCCGGACGAGCCTGCCCATTCGTGCAACATCCGAGGCTGCTGCATGGCCCTACCACCGTGTACAATATAATATGAAATCAAACTATGGAAGTGAGAGATGTATAGTCCACATAAGACTATACGGTTTTATGGAAACAAAGATTAAATTCTCTATGGAACCCCGCGAAAACATGTATTGAATGACGAATTTCACGTTAACATTATTTTATTAACAAAATTATTGCAAAAAATTTCTTCACTTTTTTTGAAGCTTTACTGTTAAAGACTCACGCCCGGTTGAAACACTGATCATCGTAGCTGTCAACCGGGCGTTAATCGAAGGAATTAAATTAAGTAATTGTGTCTTATTCGTGAAGATTACTTAGTAGAGTCAAAGTAGTAACATTTATTGCTTTTATTGAATTTATTTAGAATTAAAATTCAATATGAATTAAGATGGATACTTAATGCTTATCGTTAAGTTCACATGTATGTGTCGAAACTATGTGATTCATCGTCTGATAACAATGCCACGTGATTTCTGTGTACTAAAAATTTTCCTATCAAATAGATCGTAGACCCCTAAACTAATGCGTAAATAGTTCGTACAAGCTATTTGTAAACGTTGTTTTATAATTACTCGGTAATGTAAATTAATAATAATAAAATAAGTAGTAATTCTGACTGGAAATTATAAACTAAACTGGAAAATATGAATACACATTTTGATAATACATAAAACTTAAATGATAATACATAAATGTCAGTATCATATAAACTAACGAAATCGCAGCGAGCTTATGAAAGTTTCATCAAAACAATACGAGGTGTATATAATCTTAGTGTACGTTTAAAATTTATTTATAAATTGTAATGAGAAAATATACGGAATAAAATATAACCGGACCCTTATACTTACACTACAAGTTAAATTACAGGCGAGAAGCGTCGAGGGGAATCTATAAAAATTTCCCTACAAAAAGTAGGATGATGCAACTATGGTGCGCGCGGCGTCAGGGCGGGCAAGGATGACGCATGTCTCCCCATGAATTGAATTCTCACAATTCATGTCGTTCTATATTTATCCTCTAAATACATGCTGCAACTACTAGGCAACTATGAAACACGTTTAACTCAAGTTAAAACAATTGATTTACGTTTATAAAACATAAAAAAGTCAGCCCAATTGAGAAAAAGTCCAAAAGTAATGGTCAAAATCAGACAAACCGAATGTCTACATTTTATTTAACGAAACACATGTTTAAATCTCTGGTATACGTAGGTAGTGTGTATTAAGTTTAGGAATATTAATGGAATCTTTATTTTTGTCCCGTGTTCTGCTCTAATGAAAGAGAGAATCGTCGAACGTTCCAGTACCCTCTCGATACAAGAGTATTATTCTAGTTTGGGGTGATACAAAGGGATAGTGAGAAAGTCAATACATGGATGTAACATCTAAACTATGACGCAAACTTATTAACCGGCCTTCTATAAAATATTTACGGGTCTTGATTCTTTCTTTAAAGTTATAATGTGTATTCCCGATTTCAGCAAGCAATGTTTAATTGTCAGTAGATTTCTTTTAATAAAGCTTAAAGTTTTAAAATGAGAAAACTGATAAAGTAATCACTCGAAACATATTCATCTGCAAATAAAATGTAATTGCACATATTAGGCGAACTTTGTGCGAACACAAAGTTGTCGCATGAAGGCGTCGCGGCTTCTGTTACATTAAAATGAGAGTGCGCGAATTAATCGCATTCTGTACAGTACAATAACAAACAACATACTTGTTTATTGATCGGGCGCGTGCGGATCATTGGCTGTCGACATTGCGCGCCTCGATTCATATTCGTGCCATTCGAATGGTAACAATAATAAAACGATAAGTTGTCCCGTACGTCGTAGTTATCGGGGATTTCGAGCGGATTTACGGTGCTACGGTGAGACGCGGCGGTGGGGCAAGTTTACAGTCAGTGCTACATATAACAGCGCGCCAAGCCCCCGCTGCCACTCAATCTCGTTCCGTCAGCGCCGCCAAAGCGAACGCTCGCGCCGCATTCGGATTTGTTTCAATTTTTTTTTGCAACATATAAATCTTTCATCCGCACCATGAGGCGAGAGCTAGTCGTTCTGCTCGCCGCAGTCACACTCACCGTAGCGATGGTCCCTAGACTGAGGGTGAGTAAATTATTTTTAAGTTGGCCTTAAATGTTCGCGGAGTTCCGTTTACTTTTTAAATTTGGAATATATTTTATTTTTATTTTAAGTACAGTTCGGATGATTCCTTCAATGTATTTTATGATTTCTTTTATCATTGGCTAACTGAAAAAGAACGTGTCATTTGTTTCAGAGTTTGGTAATATACGTATTTTTAAAATTCTTAGTAGCAAGTGTTCGAATGTGCAGGTGAGAAATGTCACGTAGGTACATCTTTATATAGGGTAACCATTCTTACTGCGTCATAGGAAGGGACATGATAATTTTTAGGAAATTACCTTAAAGAACACATCAAAATCATGATCATAAAAGTTTCATGTTTAATTTACTTGAAAACCGAATAGACTTTGTGAAGGCGTGAAAAATCTTTAAATGTACAAAAAATTTTGAAATTATTATTCTGTATTACAATAAACGCAACTAAGTTCCATGCGTTATCGTAAAATAACACATTACCTGACAAAAATACACAAATTGACCAATGATTTTGTTAAAAGCCTGCCAATTTATCTTCCTATCCTGTGGACAAGAATCCATAAAATATATACTTATAGTTACTCAATTTCTAACCAGATAAAGTAGATAATACTTATAATGTACCTATATGAAATAGAACATTTTAAAAATTATATAATAGTAGTAAACTGATAAAGCATTTAAGGATATGTAGCTTTTAAGTATAACTGTGTTGGTATATATTTGAAATACATCTTTCACTTCATTATACGATACAAGAAAATTCAAATAGGAGGCATTTTAGCTGCACAGCGAGTGTAAAAGATAGAATGACCTAAAATTAATATTAAATTCAAAAATAACGCTCAAAGTATTATTCGAAAACGTTTATAAAAAAGCAAAGTGCACCAGCGAAGCCATGTATCTACTATTCGTTTACCTTGACAAAGATAGAAGACGCGCTAACTAGCCCCGGCTATTAACTAGTAGACGCCGATGTTTCTAAAGCAAATACGGGATAAGGGTAAACTGTAATTGCTCTCCTTAAATTTTCGTTTAATAAGTGCATATCGTTTCCCATTTAATAAATAAAATAATACGCACTCGAAAAATACAATTTGCAATGCAAATTAACAACAACAAACATCAATTCTTTATGTAAGTAAGTACGTGTGTAATGTCTAACAGCTTTTTTAAAATAGTTTAATTCCATTTTTGCACATTTCAACAAAACTTTTTAAAATATGTATAGTTTAAATATTTGTTCATCAGCTTTATTGCCAAAAAAACCGCAAAAGTTGATAAAGAGACCATGTTAAACAGATTCAATATATTGTTGAATAAAAAATTGGAGTTTTAACTTAAAAAATTCAAATCGGTAACGCACATTGAACGTGTTCATTGCCGCCAATGCACCTTAAACAACGTTTCTATTTCCAATGCCTGATTTATGCGCTATGCTTTTAAAGCTTTTTTTAATGCCCCTTTCATTTCTCCGGACGATAGGTGACTCACACGAGCGGTGGCCGTGATGCGGCTAGCTGTTTTTCTCGGCGGGAACAGTGTATTTTGGATGTAAGGGAAAAACATAATGGTCAATGACCCGGCGTTGTTTACGCGTATGGGCGTCGCTTCCTGTTTACACGGTTATGCAATGACGCGGCGACGTGATGATATTATGTGCGATTTTGCCATTCATTAATTCGAAGCGGGCGGTATCGTAAGGCGCGTGTGGCGCGCCGGATACGATCAAGGGCGCGGCGTGCGATCGTACGCGCGCTGCCCGCCTCGCTATACTATACGAAATCCCGAGGCCCCCGGGGAGTGTACGAGCGTATCGATTTATTATAATTTTTGACAAAAACAAACCGATTAAAATTTGTAGAAAAAGTAAGAAAAGATTGTCGCCGTTGTGGGAGATTAGCACAATAAAAAAATTCTAAAAACAAACCGACTTCAAACCGAGAAACTATAAAGCATTGTTAATACCTACTACATTTGAGGATTGACCTCGATTTCTCATCATCAGATCTGGGTTTTCTTATCATGGTAACATCCTTGGGATATCCAACCTCCTTTCTCTATCCTTTTCAACAAAAAAAGAATCATCAAAATCTGTTCATAAACGACGAAGTTTTCCGCGGACACACATAAAAATAATATACAGCGTGTCGTTACCATCGCGACAACAAATGAACACACGTCTAAAGCTACTTGCCAATAATCATAAAAAAATAATAACGTTAAACAAAATCCATAATTAAAAAAAATATTTTTCAAACAAACTAATTAAGTAAAAAAGAACCAAAATTTGTAACACCTATACAACTCGCGCCACAGCGTCGCATTACAAACCTCTCCTTCTAACAGTATGTTTTGTCTCTTTTAAATTCATTCAACCCATTCATATGTTTTGTGACCTTTACAAATGAACTTTACGTTACAGTTTGATACGTAAGGGTGTTCTAAAATTCTTCGTTTTGGAAAATTTAATAACTCTGTAAATATTGATGTTTAAAGAATGTAAATGTTTAATACGATTTTAAAAAGTTATCCTCTATATGTGTGTTCATTTATTGTCGCGATTGTAAAGACACGCTGTATACATAGTACATTAAATTTTAAACAGTTATCCTTTAAAAATATTATCATATAAATACAGATTTTTCTAAATACAAGTTATAATATAATATATTTTATTTTATATTTTGTATTTTTTATTTTATATTATTATATAAATATATAATAATATAAAATAAAAAATATAATAGTATAAAATATTTAGGCATAAATAAAAGAATAACCCTGAGTATTTACTTCATGCTATGGCTTATTTCTTCTATGCATATGTAATTTCTTTTAAGAAAAGATTAAATTTATTGCAATAGCTACCTCATCATACATCATGTTGGGCCCATTCTTACTTGTTGGGCTCAAAAGAAAAATATACAACTAAGAAAAAAAGAATTGAAAAAAATAAGATGTAAAGTTGCGTAATAAAATGCATTATAACATGTGTTTAGTAATTACATCACTATTTCATTGGGAGGCTAAAGCTTAATGGGTCTTTATCATGCAATGTTTCATTGTCAAAGCAAATAGTAACACAATAGCTTCAACGTTGACGTCTTCGTTTGAACTTAATATTAAGATAGTGATTTCTCCGTAGTTGCCCTTTGAGACACAGTTATCATTTACTACGAATGATATAAAAATCTCGGTCGTACGTTAAGTTTGAAATTATGTCGGCCACTTTTATTTTGTTTTAAACACATCTTTATATTATTTACTGCGATTAAACATGAATGCCAAACAATAAATCTGCATTTTATATCAGGCGATTTTAATTAAAGATTAAGAAAAAAATACGTTATTTACAAAGGGATTTATAAAGACTGGTGATGCATGATATATGACTGTAAATTTTTTTATAATGTCTTGTGAAAGAATATTTAAGAAAGATGATTTAAGTCATTATTTTTCAGAAAAATCAAGCCCACAAACATGATTTTCATTGTTACTTTTTATTGGTATCGATAATACACTATGATTTCTTTCTCTACCTATACTTAACACTAAATAAAGAAAATATTGAGGATTTAAAAAGGTATTTGTGTTTTTTTTTTTATAGAGACTGTTCAATGTACATATATCATATAATTACCTATATTAATAATCGTAAATATTAAGGTAAATAATATTAAAAATTTAAATAGAAACGAATTTTATGAAATAGAGGACGATTAAGAACATTATATTTTTCTCTAAACGTTCTTGTATGTCTGAAATACTTGTATCGAAAACATATATACCTATAGGACATTTAGTTATATAGGGACCTAATAATAATAGTTTTCCTCTGAGCTATTATAAATAAAAATTAATAAAAAAGCCTTTATTTCCCTTGTAGATCTTAGTATATCTATTATCAAACAGTAATAAGAATAACATTTTTACAGCGGGCAGTGAACTTGGATGAAGACGAAGAGCTGAAAAAGACTTCGCCCCCATCTCAAGACACGCAGATCTGCATGCCGCAGACTCCGTGCGCTTGGTCGATCTACAAATTAAATTCGAAAATAATCGAAACAAGAATCACCAATGGCTAGTAAGTTAGTGATTTATTCTTTGAAACATTTTAATGAGGTAGGTTCTGTATGTTCTAAGTTTGGAATAGTTGTTACAATAAAAAATAATAACCTTCTTATATCTAATGGATACGCCATTTAGGTTTTTGCAAGAAATGGTCATGTGAGAACCGTTCATTAATAAGTTAAAAGTTAAATTTAAAATGATTAAGTTAAAGTCAAATTTAATTTTAAATTAACTATTCTTATTTTATTTAGCAATAAAGTCTAATTACATTGAAATTCCTAAGGAAATATTTAATTAGTCACGAGGAATCTTCCTAAATTAATTATTTTAAGTTCACTGGTTATAATTATTAAATTATTCTATAAAATCGTTCTATAAAATCTATATACAGCATAACTATTATTTTATTCAGATCTATTTAGAATAAATGGGACAACGTGATTAACAATTTTCGTATTGTACTGCTTTCCATGCTAATTAGTATAAAACACGGTCCTTATTTCACGATGATCAAGTTTATGTACAAAGAAAGAGTAATAAGAGCAAGATAGTAAAATGCGATGACGCAGAGTTCGCGATAGTAATGCGCGTAAATATATTTCTCTTAACCGATTGACATTACTTTATCAAGTTACACGATAACGAGCTCATGCCATCGTGAACTAAATACGCTAAGTTCATTTAACAGAAAATATGATAGTATCTACCGATTTACTAACTATCAGTTTACTCTAAAATCTTAGAAACGATAGATATTCAGATACATGCGACTCCAATTGCCACGCTCTAATCAATTAAATTCATTTTATATGTGAAAACGAGGCAAATATGCTGGCGATTCATCTGATGTCAAGGGATACCCACCACCCGTTGACATCTGCAAGACCTTTCAATGAAGTGGACCCATGTTACCTTACTCACCCAGACGACACGCAAAAATATGACACTTACACTTCATGCCGGTCTTCTGTGAGATCGTGGTATTTCTCGAGACGAGTCTGCCCATTCAAGCAACAGCAGACGGCTGCGTGGCAATTACCACAGTAGCAATTATTAATTTCACAATAGATTTACTTTATTATATATATATATATATATATATATATATATATATATATATATATATATATACATAGAATATTGAATATTTTTCGCTTTGACGTCTATAAAAGTATTTACGCTCTAAAACGAAGATGATTTTTCTGTCTAAATTATGGTATCATATTTATATTAATTTTCACTTGTTTTTTGGTTTTTGTTCAAAGTTAAAGAGCAGCTTATGATTAAATTCTTAGATTCTTTAAAATGTTAATATTAATAAAATATGTCGATTAAAAATAAGTATTTGTAATTAGAAAACGAATGATGAAAGCAACTACGGCATGTTTTACTTCAATAAATATATTTCAAATAATTCTTTTGAAAAAGATGAAAAAAGATGTTTTATCTTTAACAATTTCTGTCACTTTTCACTTTCTCGTAATTTTCTAAGAACGAATAGAAAATTATAAAAATAAATAATATTTCATTTTCCAAATACTGAGAGATTCGTTCTTAGAAAATGTACCTAGTTCTTATAATTCAGCCCTCGCAAAGGTTGCCCACGTAAATCCAAAACAGTTCCATTGCAAAGAATTGTTGGAGCAATGGCTAAACTATTTGCTTGCTTTGTACAGGGTCGTTTGTTCGATTCCCACGCGTACTTATGTTACCGACAGATTCAACGGATCTGGGTGTTTGTTCCTAAGGGCGGTTGTTGTCAGGCAATGAGCCGTTTGTAATAATAGCTAATACCAACCCTACCTAGGCAATGCCGTCTTAGGCCATATCGGGGCCCTAGGGCACAGAAAAGGGCCCTGATGGAAAGTATAGAAAGTGAATGACAAAAAAATGTTCCCAAGTTAATAACTTATGTTTTTTATTTATGCTTCAAACCTCTGTCGGAATATATCTACTAAAAATAAAGAAAAATTTCTATAATTCAAGCGAATAAGTATAGGCCATGCGTGGCCCCGTGACGACGTGCCTCTGGGTATTTGCCCTTATGGTAAAGACGGTACAGTACCTAGGTAGGATAAGGAGGCGGGCGATGATCCAATCAATACGCCAGTTTCACATCGCTTTGCGTTGGAAAACTTCGAATGCCGTTGAGAGGCTGTTACGTGGCGGGCAGCTCGTTCGATGTCTAATCAGTTCTTTTTTCAGTTGCAACTGCGACGTCGGCACACTCTGCCTGATCAGCGAGGACGACAGGAACGTCGGAGCGTTCATCCATCGATGCAGGGCGCCCGTTGAAAACGACGAGACCGCCGAGAGCTAACAAGCAGCCTGAAGTCTGCTACGCGCGCAACGCACCAGTGCCCTCCATTTTGCTGAAGGCACACCGCGCGCGCAATTTTACACTAGTGTACACTATTGTGATAGTATTGCGTTCATGCTAGCACTGGCCGCTGTTCGACATATGGACAAAGACCAGGGACGTCAATTAACACTTAACTGGAATTAAGCGGCAATTTGCATCTCTGAATACATCTGTAAGATCTTAATTTTGGATTTGGATATTTAGCTTAAAAGTCACGCAGTAAGCTTGTCAATATAAATGCAGTTACGTATATTTAGACAATGAGATTAAAATATATAGAAAGGTTCAGTCATCATCCATTTATAAAATCATAAAATTTATATTGAAAGCTTCACAGCTTACAGTCTTGTTGTAAGTATTTGATAGAATTGATCATACGTGTTTCCTCGGGTGCCAGTATCTTATAATTAAAAAAGTAAATTTTAATTTTGCTTGGTTGACTGCTAGCGAACAGTTTTTCCATTTTCTATTTGTAAGACATTTTTACTCGTTTTCATTAATAAGATAAAGCATTATCGCAGACCCGATTAAATTCTCCTTTAAACTACATCCTTATGAAATATAATATTCAAATTTCTTCAATACCTTACATTGTGATACAAATTTGATAATTTAAATAAGTCATTAGCGAACTTAATGACATGCCATCAAACAATTATTTTTATGAGTTATAATTCAAATAACCCATAATTTGTGTAAGTACGTAAATTTAAAAAAACTGCAATCTTCAGAAGGAATCATTAAGTTTATTAAACGGGTGTTTATCGAGACACGTCACTCACAGTCAACAGTGTCAGTTTTTTAAACTGTTTTGCCCCTTAAACCACATAAGCTCATTAAAAACACCTAGAAATGGTGTTAATACCGCCATATACATCCGCCTTACTTATGTCTTTTTAATCAAATACGTTATTTTGTACATAATTAATGATGTACAATAGTTTAGGATAATAATGGAAAAATCCAAGATTAAGAAATGCCACACTTAAAAGTACTTATTAGATTGTAGTCCGTTTTAAAAGAATGATCTTGTACTGTCGAGTTTACAATTTTATTCAATTTAATCTTTTCATACTAAATGCCCTTAATAATTCAGTCTAGATGAGAGCACTGTAAATGTAACAAAAAATTACCAATATTTACTTTTCAAGACATCGAAAATTCTTGAATGTGTTTTGTCAATAACACATTAACGCCCGGTTTCTGAAACACTGATCATCGTAGAACTTAACTAATCAGCTATCAAATGGCTTGTCAAATGCCATTTGACAAGATATGATAAATTATGTACTTTGAAAGACAGTCACCGAATATAAGAATTATATAATGCGATTTTCAAATTTAATTATAAAGGGTATTTAGGGTGCCAGTTTGAAATACCTTGTATTAAATTAATTTTCCTATATACAAATATTGGAATGTCTTTTTCTGTTTTAAGTTGATAAGTGACGTATTTTAAAAGTTTCTATTTTATTTTATACTATTTATAAAATATTTTAATAAGTAATAAGCAGCTAGTTTTAGAAGTGCATCATTGTGACATAATAAATTAAAAATAGTTTTAAAATGATTTAAAATGTTAGTATTTGTCTTAATAAATAAAATACAAACAGTAACTGTGTTTTATTATAATAATAATAATAATAAAATATCTTTATTCACATAGACGCTTGCGCGTTCTTATGAAACGTCAAAATTTTACAAGAAATTAACACGTTCGTAAGTTACCACCGGTTCGGAAAGCGGTTTTCTGTTGAGAAGAAGCCGGCAAGAACCTCAACAGTTGTTCTTTTTTTAAAATCAGTTTACAATATAATAGTACAGGTACAATAGTCTTGTTTTAGCCTACGTGAGTATCAACAGTATTAACCCCACACATTGGCGTCGTCAAGATATTCGGCAATAGTATAATAGGCTTTAGCCATAAGTGTACTTTTAATTTTTCGTTTAAATTCATCAAGTGGCAGACTTAACATCGACTGTGGGATTTTATTATACATGCGCACACTTTGCCCCATGAACGATCTGTTTACTTTTTGTAGGCGAAATAATGGCGTAGTTAGTTTGTCCTTATTTCTAGTATTTAGTTTATGTCTGTCACTATTCTTTTGATAATTATTAATATTCTGTTTAACATACAAAATATTACAAATATTATTGTAGTTTACAAATGTATTGTAGTTTAGAAATGAATATTGTAGTTTACAAATGTAATAATATTGTAGTTTACAAATGAACTTTAACTGTTAAAAATCATGGATGAGTATTTATAACGACTTTTTTCATTACGAATTGACTTAATTGAGAAAAACTGATGAGATTAATAATGTCAAACAAATGTCTCAACTACTTCACGCGACTAATTCTTACCACAGTGACCTGGGTTTGTCCGACTTCCGCAAGGGTATACGGCTAATATTTATATCAAATCTTTACTAAGTTAAATAGTGTTTTAAAAAAAATATTAAATTTATTATACCAAAGTTATAATCCAATAGTTCTCGGTTGTTGCAGATGTCATACTAAAAGTAACAATGTGTTGGCCTTCTTTGACTTCGTATAGTTATAGTTGGAAATCCGCACTAATATTATAAATGCGAAAGTGTATTTGTTATTCCTTCTTTTACGGCGCAATGGAACGTTGGTATGGCATGATTTTTGTATATGGAGATAGTTAGCTTCTATGTAAAAGAGCGATTCTAGCACTTGAAAACGATATTGTAAACAAAATAAATTCATACATTTTTTATTTTTTTATATTAGGTCTACAAAACTGAATACAACCTTTACATAAGTTATTATAAGCTTCCAATTATTCCAAACACAAAAGTGCATTCCTCTAGATGTAGACACAACATGCATTTAAATCGAACATTGAGTGAAGAAGCATGAGATACGACAAAGTATTTATCATTAGACACAGTTTTGGACACAGAACAGAGCACTTGAAATCCCCCACTTAAGTAGTGCCAACATTCTCATTCTAGAACATAATTAGTGCCAACATTCTCATTCTAGAACATAATTAGTGCCAACACATTAACTGGTGTAGGATAGTGTAATGATCCCACGAATCCATATAATTCCCACAGACCTTCCATTCCAGCTTTGTTTCGTCATGATCATAAAACAAAGGGCAAGGGCAGACATTAAAGGTAGCGAGGGTGACCTTAGAGAAACTGCTTTCCGTTTGTATGTAGCATGTTCGCGTGTATCCAGTCCTCAATACTTTATATTCCATCCCCAAACGGAGAGACGTGTAATGCAGTCTACAGTAGCATAATAAAATAGTACTATTTTTATCTATTATTATTTCATGTCCCAAGCTGTTTATGGCTCGAAATAAATCAAATAAAAAAAATCATACAAATTTGTTTCCTCATTTTTTTTTAGTAAGCATATGATAAATCGGCCCTAAAATAGAAATTGAAAATTTCATTAGTGCCGGCACAGATATTTAAACTGAGATTTATCACAATTTTTAATTTAAAGCGAGCGCCTTTAAATTTTGATTTATATTTATTTATTAATATATCTTAAAATTATATAGTATGTAATAATAGTCAACAAAATTAAATTTATTTTTTCTCGAAGGTATCTTAAAATTTAAGTAAGAATTATAGAAAAATTATAGAAAATATTAGAAAAATTCACTGAAATACACACAGCTCGTAATGTATTATAATTTTTTTACCTTTAATTTTAAATAGAGGGTAGACAAAGAAAAATCTTAAACGAACTTCGTTTCGTTAAAATATTTTCATATGAATTAATAAAATCTGGACCATTTAATTCTAAAACATTAATAAGTTTAATAAGCGTGTTCTCTCTTATTTTGTCTTCGTATTTTCTAAAAACATGTGAATGTCACAGTAACACTTTAGCTAGCTAATTATTTTTAATTTTTATTATTAGCAGTTTGTCAATAAAAAGCATTCTTACAATATAAGTAAGTACTTATATGCTAATCAACTATTCAATCATTTCGTTTGATTGTCATCTTACAAAACTATAAACCTAACAATATTCGAAAATGGGTACTTTTTTATTTTATTTTACAAATATGTCGCCAATTGTGAACCAAACACGAGCGAAATTATGAAGTTTTTAAAATCTGTTTTTTAGAGATTTTCACTTATTTATTCTTTTACCACAACTTTTATAATTAGTGCACTAGCGTTACGACAGGTCGGAAAATTTTTGTTGTACATATATATTTTCTCTATAAGTGTTTTTTTTTTTTGTAAATCTTTGGAGCAAATAAATGTCCTAAACCTAAACCTTTTATGGAAAAAAAACATATGAAATGTATAAAAAATTTCTACTTCAGTATTAAATGTTTTACTCATCAATACGCTCTCACCAGAACTGCTACTACGTCGCCCCTGATCTCCAACGCGAGATTCTGGCTCCGCGTGTTTATATCAGGAACAGGCACTACAACACCTCATGGGATTGAGGTGCTCTGTGTCGGATATGTGATTTACTTTGAACCTAAACTTATCCACTAATAACCTAAAAAAAAACATGAGAATTTATAAATAACTAGACTAGAACTATTTCGATCATACTATCTCCACACTATTTCATCCCGGCATTGTCAGTTCTAGTTTGGAATTTACAAATTCAAAAATTGTAATCGACTAAAAATTATTGAATTCTGTCATTGCAACAGTGCTGTCAAAGTACACAACCTACGTAGCACTATTTATGTTAATAATTTACTACGTTTATTTTTATTTTTATTTTAAGTTCATTATTTTAATGCGCACTCTGGTAGCAAGTGTGAACGTAGTGTAAGGTGTCGAAGTTTAAAAGGGTCTCAAACAATGATGTTTAATTATAATATTTATTTAAATGACGCATGTCCACGCTGCGCGGCGTTTAAAATTTGTTCCGCTTTACCCTTTTGTGACAGATGATACGGAAAGAGAGAACAGTCTATAAAATTGCAATATAATTACACCAATTGGCGTAATTGGAGTGCCTCTGTTTCGGTGCACTAGAGTCATATCTACCTCGTATTTGTATATAATATCATTCATATATCATATCATTTCTCACAAACGCTAACAATACGACGGACAGGGATGAATAAGAAGTAAAAAATCAATTAATTAATATATTACAATATATTTTTGAAATCTAATTAAAATTAGAAATATTTTTGAATCAGTCGGATTGATGCATAACATAGATGACTTTTCTGTGAATATTGTGTTAAAAAAAACTGTCCCAAATTTGTGCGCAGTGAATAGTAAGGTGCTCATAAAGTCACTTTTCACTTATCATGTTTTATAACTGAAGGAGCTGAAGTGAATAGCTCAGATTGTCTCAGAATACTTGTTTAATATTAAAAATACGTGAGCGACTTGTATTATCGACACTTTACATCGATATTTTACTTTATAGCTTGTGTTTCAAAATGTGTAAGTCCATAAAACATTAAAAAAAAGAAAATTAAAGTAACAGTCTATATATTTCCCACTGCTGGGCAAAGTCCTCCTCTGTAAAGAGGGAATTAATGAATCGTCCACCGCGTGACCCCAATGCGGATTGGCGGACTTCACATACCTTCAAAATATTTTTATTTATTATTCCGAAAATGTGCAGGTTTCCTTTCACCGCTGAGCATATGATAATACAGCACGTAAAATTAAGAAATTTATTGGTGCCGGCATCGGGAATTGAACTCTGGATACTCCAGCATATTGAATTAGAAGCGCGCGCCCGGATACTAAAATATGCCCGGATAATAAAAGCAGCTTTTGCTGCTTTTATTATACTTTTAAATTAGCAAAACCCGCTGATTTAAATATTTTAAGACGCACACAACAAGAGTAGGAGTGGTTAAGTATTACTTACATTATAAGACTTGACAGTTTTAGAATTTACATGCAATGTCTCCCACCCCCAAATTATAAGACGTAGGGGTGTTATTGAAACTTTAAATAAATATTAAAGAGAAGAAAAGAAATAAGTAAAGTAGCCGAACTTATTTCTTATTATATCAGCTATCTGCCAGTAAAAGTCCCGTCAAAATCGGTCCAGCAGATCAGTTTTAGAGATTAGCCGGAACAAACAGATATACAGAGACAAAAATTGTAAAAATGCTATTTTTGTATATGTATCGTGTATACATCCATAAGCGTTTGGAAAAAGAATTATTTTAATGTTACAAATAGACACTCCAATTTTATTTTTCTTATATACAGATGTATAGATAATGCTTGTTATATTATAGCCGCTCCTCATTTTTTATTATAAAATGAAGGTAAGATGGTAAAATTTCAGTACGTCTCTGGGCGAAGCTCAAGCATTTTGCGATTATTTGAAGGTAGAACGATTTTAGCATCGCTTGGCGTGTTGCTACATGGGCCTAGCAACAAAACATCTATATAGATGTATCGGTAGCTACATGTTTCCTATATATTCTGCTCCTTGAGAACGGCGAGTTCTTTCCGTTACGACCGGCGCGAAGTTGTTAACAGAAACGAACTAGCTTATCATTTCGCGTAAGTTGTAATTTTGTAATAATTCGTGTAATGGACTCGATTCCTTTTAATTATAACGTGGAAGAAGGGAGAACTATTTTCACGACTGCTGGCGACACTCCTACAACGGCTACAACCGTGAGTTTTTATGTAATTAGATTATCGATAGAGGGCGTGAAGCGCTTAGGAATTTATGACGTAAATTTGTTTATTTGGCAAGTGGAGTCATGTTAAGCTATTCTGTTTGAACTTTTTAGTATATTTTTGGATAAGTGACAGCGATGAATGCAACCGAGAACAAACTTAAAATACTAATTTCCTTAATTTACCATTAAACTGTTAATAATACATTGACATGCAAAGTGCCGCACACCTTTCACTAGGATAATAATATATTATGAAGTATATGTCGTATAGTTATGAAGTATATGGTCGTGACTTCTACTTAATGTTGCACTTCAGAGTCCCACCAAATACTGCATCTTATTACCATCAGGTTGGATTTTTATGATGAACTGGCTAGTGCGTAATAAAAGAAAATATATTAACGGTTTACAAATTTTTGATCCGGATCTGGACGTCGCGTCGGTTCTAAGCTTTATTTGTCAATATAAATCGTCTTTACTACTTAAATAATACAGTGTAATTGATAATAACAGACATGGCGACTACAAATTTCAATAATATCCCCGTTTAAGCATCAAACGTGATTTACATTTCCAGGAAAGTTTCGCTACACCCGACAACAGGAATATAAACTCCCAGGACAGCGTTTTCTCACCGCTCGCTGCACCGTTCCAAAGTAGGGTAGGCGGCGAATTCTTGAATCTAATGCACGAGCCCCGCACTGCAGATACAGGTACCCTTCGCCTACGTTTCCAAACACTTAATTCATCTTTACTCTTCATTTGTTTATACTCAATTACGTAACAGCACCGTCTGCCGCCGAAATGGAGGAAGTCTTACTGAACCTTCGTCTTAACAGTTCAGAGTTACTCTTCGATGACATGGAACAAAATGCGTCTAACTTCTTCATGAGTGAGTAAGAACTAATATTGTAGTAAGCTAGTTTCTTATTCCACTCGAAAGTATTTCAATTTGTATTATAAGTTTTGTAGTTGTAACTATATTCTTGTCGCTGGAGAAAATAGAACATTTTATACAACAAAAGTAAGTCGTTAAGAATTGAATACTTTCCTAGCAATGGTTTAATTAATAATAAATTTTTATTAATATCTAACTTTAATTGACAACAAAGTGTGTTTTTTAGACGCTAACAGAACTGACTCCGCGCCGCCATCCCACAACATCTGGTCCGATGGCTCTGGCATTTCTGGAGTTAGGAACGGCGAGATGATGGACACATTTGACTTCTTGATTAAAAGTTAGTACCTAATTCTATGATAACTGTTTCATAGCTACTTACATTTATTCACAAGCAAATCATTCCCTTAACTTGCTCTCAAACACCAAAGGCTAACTGGAACAAAATGCTATTTAGCATTAAGTTCGCCTTTGTACAAACTTTTGGGTACAATAAAAAAAATTTTAATCAATCAATTCCCTAACCATAAGTTATGAAGTTATATCCACAAGTATAATGAAAATTGCGGTACGCTGTGGCGTCTTATCCTTTAAACGAGCAATTCTTGTATATATATATATATATATATATATATATATATATATATATATATATATATATATATATACAATCGGAATCTCGGAAACGGCTCCAGCGATTTTCATGAAATTTAGTATGTGCGTAGATTCGGGGGCGAAACATCGATCTAGGTAGGTTTCATTTTTAGAAAATGTCCTTTTATCCCTGTTTTCAGGGAATGAAAAATATAATTCGAATATGACGTTAAATTTCGCCGCAAGAGAAAATGTCATAATAGCTCGGTCGGTAATCGGGCGGCCCCAAAACAGAAGGCCGTGGTTCGCGTCACGATCATTTACACATTTATTTCTTTACTTTTTTTCGAATCCAGATCATTACTTTCTTTATTTTTAATTTTTTTGTCGATTTTTTAAAGTTCTTTCTTTTGTGAAAAACATCAGTTCATATTTTCTTATTATTACGTCGGTAAGATCAAAAAATATTATACATATTTCATTACTCAGTAATTTGTATTTAATTGTAATTTCCAATATACACGATTTACCAAAAAAAAACAAACCGAGCAAAGCTCTGTCCTCCGGGTACTTGATATTTAAAAAAGATTAAATTGATCAATCGTTCCATATGGTGTAGGTTCGTTTGATTCCATTTATTTATCGTGTTTTTCATATTTAGACTTATTTTTTATTAAAAATATTTTTGTGAGTGAAGTCCGATTCGAATCCCATTTGTGTGCGACTAAAGTGATATAGTTTTGTCATTTATATTTCATGCTAAATCTATCTGTATGATAGTGTACGCGGACCGATTATTTATCACCTGGTCACTGTCAATTATAAAGGAATGTCAAAAAAATATATTATACATAAAACTAAAACAGTTTGACAGTATCGATTGTTTAATAGGATTACCACATTACACTACGTTATATGTTGTGCATGTGATAATATAGTAAATGAGGTTAAGCATAACCCATTGGCATTTGAAAAAAAAAATGTCTACACTATGAAACGTTAATTTTTAAATTGTTTGTGATTTTCTTTAAAATACTATTTTTAAATCGAAAGGCTTGTCATCTGCCAACAACTACGTGTCGATGCTGACTCGAGAGCAGTTGTCGGTGCTTCGCTCCATTCGCCCGAGCTTGCTCTACGAGTTCCTCCAGGAGGTGGCAAAGGTGCGCAGCGACAAGCGGATGAGACGCGCCTTGCCAAATGTACGTGATATGATAAGTGATAGTTGTTTTTTGTTTAAAAAAAAACATTGCCTTCACTTTAGGATAACATTATCCTGTGTTGTAAGGACGTTTTACATAAATAAATATCACATGGATAAACACCCAGATGCGAAACAACTATTTGTGGGTCACACAAATAGTTGTCCCGTGTGGGAATCGAACCCATGAACCCCGACGCCGAAGTCAATACCTTGACGACGGCACCATGGAGACACCAATAAAATGCAAACGTCAAAATAAGCATACCTCAAAATATCGCACTACTTACTTTTTATTAGTTACTAGCGACCCGCCCCGGCTTCGCAAGCGTGCAATGTATATAAATAAACCTTCCGCTTGAATCACACTCCATCTAGTATAAAAACGTTCCTCTAGTATAAAAAGATCCGTTGCATAGTTTTAAATATCTAAGCATACATAGGGAAAGACAGACAGCGGGACGACTTTGTTTTATACTATGAAAAGTAGTAAAGTAAAACAGCCTCTACATGTCCCACTGCTGTACAGAGGTTATCAGTGCATAGTCCACTGAGCTGCCCTCTGTGGATTGGTATCAGGGCATAGTTCACTGCGCGTCCCCCACTACGGATTGGCGGACTTCGCATATCTTGGAAATATTTTTTGTTATTGTTTCGAAAATACACAAGTTTCCTCACGATGTTCTACTTACCGCTGAGCATGTGATCAGCAGCAGTCAGCACTTGAAATTAAAAATTTCATTGGTGCCGTCACTGCAGATTGAACTGGGGTTCCTCGAGTAAATTGCATAAAAGGCGACGACACTTTTTACTAATTACAGATTTTAGAAGTACCAAAACTTCCGGTACAGTTGGTAAGGTATCGACTTCCACGACGGGAGTCGTCGATTCGATTGGAACAATATGTATTTAACCTTGATTACATAGATACCTATAATTGATTTCATAAACTATTAAATATAATATGCTATGCATATATTTACGATTTGCCATTCAGATTAAAATACTAGGACTTTCTGAAATTACTGTTATGTTTAAAATTATAAAATAATTACGATGTCTGGCGATGAATGAAAGATGAATTGAAATATGCTATTGAATTGTGCATTTTTATGAAACTGCAACACGATCACGAAGCTGTCACATAAAACCGTTACATGTTGATAAAACACCTCCACTACGGCAGGAGTGCGCCTTCTGCAAGAACAACGGCGAAAACGAGGAGTGCTACTCATCGCACGCCCTGAAAGACTGGCGTGGCAGGGTGCTCTGCCCCGTTCTGCGGGCCTTCCGATGCCCCCGCTGTGGTGCCACCGGCGACCGTGCGCACACCATCAAGTACTGCCCGGAAAACTCCGACGGAGGTTTGCCGATCTTTAATGTCGATTTGAATTATTCAATGCTTTTCGATAATTCAGTGTTTTATTTCGTTTTGTAATTTTAGTAAACTATAAACGAGTGTTTAACAATCAAATTTGAAACTAGCAGTCAGTGTCCCGGACGCCTCTATTACCGTCTGAAATGTTGCCATAACGTATAACCAGGACTGTAAATAAAGAAAATCTTCCTTACAACCTTGAGTTGAAAAAATATTTGTAAGGAATATGTATCGATCATTGGTGACACAGATAATATTGAAAACGCTCTATTGTTGGTCGCCAGACTCTTCACAGCTCTTTTATCATAGATTGATGAAGTTACGCTTTCAGTTCAAAGACTATATTATACAGTAAAACTTATCCAATAGCGAACTTGTTTAAATCTTTCCACAGGTTCGATATCAGATAAGCCAACATTCAAGTCCGTCAAAATTTAGATCGAAGATAGATTATTTTTGGACTAGTTTAAACCCACTATTCGCAATAACTAAAATAGTAGTAAACTCTGGTGGCCTCTACATGCAGCCGAGGCAGTTTTCGTGAAATTAAAGTCTTTGGAGGGCGCTGGATCGTACGGGTTAAAAACTAAGCCGTGATGGGCTAACGATGGAACCAGAAACTTTTAAATTTAAATGTTCTGATTTACTACAGGCTTGGATCGTTCTGGTGGTCTACTATCGCGGCGCCGCGTGCCTTCGTCTGCTTCGTTGCTGTTGAATACCCCCGGGCGCGTACCTCAGGGTTGCAACACCGCTCCCGTCACCCCTGCACCCTCCCCTTCGCCCACTACTGGAAACATCAATCATTCATCCTTATGGTCAACCTTTAACATGAATTAATTCTCGGTGAAATTTAAACACGAAATGTCCGACACGAATTATTATAACTAAATTGTCGTACATTAAATGTTTACAAATTTCGAATTCTACCTCGGTGTTCTCTTGTCTCGTACTGCTATTCGCTATTCATCTTACTATGACATATAGTATAAAGTGAATAATGTTAGCAATACATAATCGGTAGTGTCCAGTGTCTATCACGTCATAGTAATTCAATCTTTGGTATGCAGGTCATACTTTGGTTGATAAATTAATTCCGAAACCGATTAGACATCGTCCGAGTTGCTCTTGCTTTTTTTTATTTATTGTATATTTTTCATTGGCTTACCGAACTTCATTGTTTTTAATGTTTTTTTTATTTCAATTGGCATCATCATTATTTTCAAAAAATATTTCATTATCTAACAATTCAATCATTGTTATAATTATAAATTTCATTGAATATATTCTAAATACTGATGATTCATTCTAATATAAATCGATTGTTACTAAAATTTCTGATTAGTAATGTTTTAAAATTCATAAGTTTTACCAATGAAAAAATATATTTTTGTCATTTCGGTGTGGGGAAATTTGTTACTGTTAATTCTTTTTTGTTTCTTAAATAAACTAATGGAGATATTTGATGTTTTATTATGGGCCACATTACCAAGTTACGTATACGGTTCCTAATATATTTCTTGAAACAATCTATTTACCCCTTACAATCTAATTATTACTATATTATTAAAATTATTAACCCACTGAAAATATAAATGCTATGCTAAGCAATCAATTAGTTTATTATAGCAATTGCGCATTACTTTAACGTTATGGTAATGAAGCTACGTTCAAATTTTTACTGCGCAGTAACTATAACGTTCTCGTGATATAGTCCCTTGTTTATTCGTGTGACTAAATGTTTATCAATCAATCTTTGGAGCAATTAAGCTATAAAAGTAAATATTGGTTTCCATTTGTGTGGCTATAATTATGGTTTGTATTTTGTCTTTTAATAATAATAATAATAATATCATTTATTCGCTAAAACATGGTACATCAGAGGTGACACATAGTTGCATATTGTACATAGTCCACATGTTTACCACATCTGGCATGCGAAAATTATTATTTAATTAAAAATAATTCATTATGTACATACATTAAATTAGACCAAATAGATATGAATTAAAAAAAAAAAAAAAATTACAATAATAAATTTCAAGCAAAGAAGTTAATTATGTATTATTAAATTAAATTAAATTAAATTAAAATTACAATCATCATGTCAATCATTACAAATATTAAAGATTAAAATATCAAAAGAGTATACAAATTATTACACAAAAATAAAGTCTAAATAAAGTTTAAACTCTAGGGTACATTTATTTATTATTTCCTATTCAGTTAAAAATGTAAATACCGCAAATTTAACTGGTTTTATCTCAGCTGGTTGAGTAGCCAAAATATATGAATCGTATTGTTAGTGGTGTTGGTTAGGGCTTTTACGACCGGCTGTCTGTCTGTGAGTAACACCATTATATACTTGTCCCGTGTGGAAATTAAACCCAGTCCCCTTTGCGGAAAGCAAAAACAACTACATACACCACCGAGTCATCAAAAATGTAAATGTCAATCAATAATGTATTTGATTAATTTACACAGTTGCATTAAATTTTAGTGATAATGATAATATCGATAATTATATCGCCAATTTAAACTACGTAATAATATAGTTGTTTTATAGTTCATTATACGATACGTACTTCGTAAATGTCACCACGCCCGACCCCGTAGCCACTCATTCATAGAACTGCTGTAACCTCTGACACTCATTGTTTTTTTATCAATCACATAAGTATATTATAGATAGTATTTGTTATCTAAAAGTAACGCGACATGCAACCGCGTTTAACCAAAAAGATTAATGATTATATGTAAAATAGTTTTCAATTCAATATTATCATTTTTTTTATTTAAACATACCCTAAGAAAATATCTGAAAAGGAAACCCATTAGGAGCGGCTAGGAGTAATCTTGGAATGCACTGTGATTGGTTTTAATATTGTTTGAACTGTCATACAATGTGCTATGAATCGTCCTATTCGAAATGATTTCTTGTCAGGGTGTAGAGTGAAGTGCTGAATGTGCGCTTATTATGCGCACAAGAGATGTTAAATTCGATGGAAAGCACATCTGATGCTCCCCGCTCTGGTCGCCCAATCGAAGTCACTACTGAGGATGTTGTTGAAGAAGTCCATAATAATATACTCGACGACCGCCACTGAGCGAGTACATAAAATCCTGCACGAAGATTTGGGTATGACAAAGCTGTCTGCACGATGGATGCCACATTTGTTGACAATCGAAAAAAAAACGCGAAAGAAAGCGAATTTCAAAACTGTGAACGTGCCCTAAAGAAGGCAAAAACTGTTTTGTCAGCTGGGAAGGTGATAGCGACAGTCTTCTAGGATGGCGAAGGAATCATTATGATTTATTACTTAGAAAAAGGAAATACTATCACTGGCCGTTATTACGCAGAATTATTGGACCGGTTTAATACCAAATTGTTGGAAAAACGACCAAAATTGTTCCCCAAAAAGTCCTCTTGCAATGGCCGAAATCCACGAGTTGGGCTTCGAGCTGCTCCGTATTCGTCGGACCTAGCCCCGTGCGATTATTACCTATTCCCAAATCTGAAAAGATGGCTTGGATGGCAAACATTTTTGACAAATGAAGAATACATCGCAGGTGTAAACGACTATTTGCTTATTTTTTGGAGGGGATAAAAAAATTGGTAACTCGGTGGACCAAGTGTTTGGCCCTCAAAGGAGGCTATGTTGAGAAATCAATGTAAATTGTTTAAAAAAATATATATTTTTTAGTTTTTTAAACAGCCTCCTCTATATTAATAAGAACAACAAGCAAATCATTGAGACTTTTTTTGCATATGAAGCCTGTATTTCTCTATTTTTCATATATTTTCCGTTTTAAGGTATCTACTTTTATAATCTAAAATAAAGCATTTTTTTTACTTAATATCAAAATAAATTACCTCAAAGATCTGTTGTACACATATAATTTTATTTTAAAAATTTCGTAACACGTTATAATTGACGTTGACATTGACATTATGAAAAAATGAACGATTGTCAATGTTATGTCACAATGACAACAAAATAATCCATTCCAAATTCCCCAAAAGGTTAAGTAGCGAAGCGAATGTTTTTCGCTATAATATCTTATTTTTAAAAGTAAAATATTTTAATATAAATATGTCGCTAGAGGTAGTTCCCAAGGATATAAGAGGATTAAGAGCTTGTTTAGTATGCTCACTAATAAAGGTAACTGTTGTATATTGAATGGGCACTTTTTTCTTTAGTTATTAGTATTATAACAATATTTTATTAATTTCAGACCTTTGACCAATTTGAATATAATGGTTGTGACAATTGCGACGAATTTCTCAGAATGAAAAATAATAAAGACAACGTATATGATTGCACGAGTAATAACTTTGACGGGTGAGTGTGTAAATAAATCTAAACGTTAGAGCGTTATAAACTCGTAATTTAATCATATTAACTCATTGTGTATGGTTTATTATTCCGATATATATCTGAAGTACTAAAAGTACTTAAATATGTTATTTTCAGAATGATTGCTGTGATGAGCCCTGAAGATAGTTGGGTATGCAAATGGCAACGAATAAGTAAGTAATAATACTATAGTTTATATTGTGAATAAAAATTCTCGAGTGACGGCCACAAACAGGAAGACCATTGGAAGGTATCCCACTAAGTGCACTGACACCGTAAGAGTTGTAGGCAACTGGTGGTCAATCATTGTGGCACTCACGCAACAGGGAAAACTGGTGCATGGCCCTACCACTTTGAAGTTCTATGGGGGAGGCCTTTTTTAAACATTATTCACACTCACAGTAAACATTATTCTAGCTGATGATGATGAGGAATAAATATAGTTTCCTTTCACTCTTACTTTTTCAAGTGGAATTTAGTATATTTTTAGATTAAAAAAAACTATTTCTTTCACCGGTTCTTAGGCCATTAGCTTTTTTTAGACTGGTAATATTATTTTGATAACCCATAAGTAAGTGTAATGCTTCTGTATTGAATAATTACATTTGAATTAAATAAAAATAATATTCATTTTGGCTACCACTGTTGGTGACCTTCTGCATATATTTGGTTTTGGTGTGTGTTAAACTTAAGATTGCTCAGTTGCCATTATTATGACACTGCTATTCTTTACATAAAAATATAAATTTATGTGCAAGATAATATCTGTATCTGAATTGTGAGTGTATGACAATAACAAAAAATACTTAATAATCCTCATTTGAGTTTTATCTAAATACAACCTCAAAATAACATATTGCTGATGTGAGGATAGAGGTTCTACATTTCATTCTTGAACAATCTCATTTATCGCATGTCTGCTATCAGTGGTGTTTATTGATTAGTGACCTGGTAATAACTAGTATTATTAAAAACCATTTATTTGATTTTTATATTTAAACATTATACATTATTTAATATCAATATAAGGGCTTAGCTTTCCATTGAAGTCTGTTGAGTTGGGGGGTTGATATTTTTTTTTACAGAATGATTGTTTCATATTATAAGCTCATACGCAAAGTTTCAACGTGCAGAGACATAGTTTTTAAAGAAAAATTGTGAAAATAAATTTCTTAGAATGTTAATGTAAATCCTTATTATTGAAATAAGTATTACAAAAATCTTATATATAAAATTCTCGTGTCACAATGTTAGTTACCTTACTCCTCCAAAACGGCTTTACTGATTTTTACCAAATTTTATATGCATATTCAGTTAGTCTGAGAATCGGCTACTATTTATTTTTCATAGCTCTAAGTGATAAAGGTTGTTCACCCTTAACATTTTTTTTCAATTTTTGGACAAAATTTTTTGTTTTTATGATACAGCATACAAAATACATACAACCCTAAATATTCACCTCTACGCAGACGTAGTCGCGGGCAGCAGCTAGTAATATACAGCGTGTCGTTACCATCTCGACAATAAATGAACACACATATAGGGGATAACTTTTTAAAGTTGTATTAAACATTTAAAGTCTTTAAACATCAATATTTACAGAGTTATAACATTTTCCAAAACAAAGAATTTTAGTTCATTTGTAAAGGTCACAAAGCATATGAATGGGTTGAATGAATTTAAAAGAGACAAAACATACTGTTAGAAGGTGAGGCTTGTAATGCGATGCTGTGGCGCGAGTTGTATAGGATGTTACTAATTTTGTTTCTTTTTTACTTAATTAGTTTGTTTGAAAAATATATTTTTTTAATTATGGATTTTGTTTAACGTTAATATTTTTTTATGATTATTGGCAAGTAGCGTTAGAAGTGTGTTCATTTATTTTCGCGGTGGTAAAGACACGCTGAATAGAATTATCACCATTGTAAATTTGGATTTTGTTAAAATAGCTGGAAATGTGTATATGCTTTTTCATAATATACTAATTACTTCACATGATAAATTTTAAAACAATCCTGTTGTATGCAATAAATCATTTACCATTGTTTGCATACTGGTAAATTGTTATGTTATTCTGATTTTGTACTTTTTTACACCACATCCCATATCCAATACTACATTTAGGCATTGTTGCAAATTGATGTTCGATGACTCTGTGCCGCAGTTGCCAAGGTTTTGGCGTTCGGCGTCGGGGGTCGTGGGTTCGATTCCCACACGAGAACTATTTGTGTGACCCACAGATAGTTGTTCACATCTGGGTGTTTGTCCGTGTGAAATTAATGTTTGTAAAACAACCTTACAATACAGGATAATGTTGTCCTAAAGTAAGGGTAACATTTTTTAATACAAATTTAATGTTGAACACAAAAAGAACACTAGAACACCATAACCCTGAAAAACTATTTCTTTTCCACATTTAACTATTACTCTGACATACCTTGTTCTTCTCAATCTTTGTCTTTGTTCAATTAGAATAGGTGAGGTTCAACTTGTCAATGAACCAAATTGATTGACCCCGATTCCACCTTGTATGAGTCTGTCCTACCCCTAGTGTTTTTATAGAGGCGGAAGCGCCTAGGGAGAGCAGCCTCCACCCGCTTTAACGTACTATAGACAACGGTTGAGCCGGAGCGTCTGTGGCTAGTTGCCGAAGCTGCAGAGATGTTGTAGTCTTAAAATAATTACAGAAATCCCTCTGAATCAGCTCCCCTATTTTTTGCTGATGAAGGGTGTTCTCCCCTTCCTCTCCAAGTCCCCACTTGTTTTTTCACACTCATTATCAATTTTAATCCATAAAATGAGGAACATTTTATCTCGGAATTGAAAATTAAAAAAACTGGAAAAAAGGTAGGTTCCGCAAGTTTTCCTTTTAAGGAGGTCTAGAACCCCTCTTACCCCTCAATTTCACGTATGTCAATGGAAAGTTGTACCACAAAAAGGATTATTTAAAAAAAATTTCACTTACATATATTTATTTGAAATTGCAGGTCGGTTTTGTCCAGGGGTATATGCAATATCAGTATCTGGTCGTCTTCCTGCAGGAGTAATAAGAGAAATGAAGAGCCGTGGAATTGTGTATAGACCTAGAGACACCAGCCAAAGATAAGAGATGATAATTTGTTAATTAGCTCGATATAAAATATACCTCACTCCACCTGAAGCGTTTTATTTGTTTGAAAAAATCATTCTCTTAACTTTCTCTTTCATCTTAATCTTTTTTATTATAAAACAACCAATACTCAATATTTTCATTCAAATATAACATTGTAAAGACTAATTGGCTTAGTTTTTTAATAGACAAGATGTATTGTGTGATAAATTTAAGAATTTATAAATTTTAAAATTTAATTTGATAGAAATCATATAACTAAAAATAAAGCAAGAAAATAACGAACAGGGTTTTATTTAACATATTTTTATCTTTACACTTAATAGCACATAATTTAAATTAAATGCAAAATTTATTAGTGCCTACCACATTTTTAAAAAATACTATGAAAAACTTTTACATTTAAAAGATATTATGCACTAACACTAAATAACATCTACCTTTTTTGTCTTAAAATTCACATTAAACAACAAGCAATCTAGAAGTAAATAAATTGGGAATGATAATTGTTACCAGTAAGTTCAAACTAACTATAATAATAATAATTTATCTTTCTAAAGTTATTAAACTGTTACTATAGACACATTGTAAACCTATTATTATTTTTATTGATTTACTCTTATTACCTATGAAAAAGATTAACAAAACATGGATAAAACCTGCAATAATGCTGCATCTCAAACATAATAAACATGTCAATTCCATAATAAATCAAATTCTATTTTGAACATCATTTTACTTTAATGCAGAAATGTTTGTGTTGAAGCTTTGCTTTTTTAAATGTTACATTGTCCCTTTTGTAACATACATCGCTTTTTTACTTTTGAAACTTAAAAATGTCCCCATCATTGAAAAAACAATTCATAATGGGACTCAGAGTACACATCAGGCTATATTTTTGTCAACTGTTTCCAGTAGGTGGAACTTTAAATTCATTATCGGTTCCTAAAACTTCTTTGTCAATTTCTTTAAAATCAATATTTTGCTGCTTCATTGCATTCTGTAAAAATAGAAAATTTCTGTGAAAAATAAAAATTTTGAAAAGTTAAAATGTAAATAATGTTTCACTGTTGATTACGTAAATATACATAACCTTAACACATTCTTGATAAACTTTAAAAATACCAGCGCATACAGAATCGTCGTGGTCCCCTTTTAAGAATCTCTCAGAAAACCAACTATTAAAGCAATCATCATATTTTTTCTTTAAATCAGTACATTCTTCACCTATGCTATTCATGTTTTTCTTTATATAGATATATAATTATATATATATATATATATATATATATGAATAAAATGCGATTTTGTGCCGAAGGAAATGTTAAAATTAAAACCTTTTTTGTGATTGTCACATTGACAATCACAATTTAGGGATGCCGAAAAAATATCGAAATTTTGATCCGATATATCGATATAAAAAATTGGATATCGAAATCGTATCAAAAACGGTAGTTTTATATCAAATTTAATTCAGCTGAATATTCACAGATTCAAATCCGTAAAAGATAAAAAAGAACGGATTTTTTTTTATCTATGACTAGTATTGTCGCGGATGCAATGTTCGTAATATCATTATAGGATTTATACCAAAATTTCATTTTTCATACTTTATTAGTATTAGTATATTAGTAGTATTAAAAAGATCGATAGATCGAGCTAAACAATGATACCACTCATGACATATGACACCAGCGCACCGAACTTGAGGTACTCAAATCACACCAATTGGTCTTATTAGATTGCAATTCTATAGACCGCTATCCCTTTCCGTATCGTACGCTCTATATCATATGGTGACGTGTGCTACTTTGACCTGAATGCAGATCAACTCAATAAACTCGACCGACTTCTGAATAACAACTGCATTCGATTCGTCTTCAATCTTCGTAAATATGACCATGTGTCGGTATACCATTCTCAACTGCAGTGGTTGCCGATTCGCCAACGACGTTCTTTAAGAGCACTAACCACTCTTTATTCTTTTTTTGATTCCCCTTCTATCCCATCTTATCTATTTCCCTACTTTCAATACCTTACTTCTAAAAGCGATAAAACCCTGCGTTCGACCTATAATCGTCTTTTACTCGTTCGAACTTTTACATTCATCTTTCTTTATTCAGTCCATTCATCTGTGGAATGCATTACCTCTCGAAATCAGGAGCGCATGATTAAAGAACTGTCAGCATAATCAGTTCATCGTAAATTTTTTTTTTTTGCAAATGTTTTATAATACACGATGGACTTATTTGTATATATATATATATATATATATATATATATATATATATATTTATGAATAATATTTTATCCTCCAACACGTAATATCTGTGCACCTACCTCACTTTTCTCTACACCACCCTAAGGTTAACTGGTAGAGAATGGCATTAAGTCCGCCTTTGTACAGTGTGTGCATGAACATTAAATAAATAAATATATCGTGAAGTTTGCCTGGATTCCAGGGCACGTGAGTATTGTTGGTAATGTTACAAACATTCAGCTAAAGCTAAAGCTGATCGTCTGGCTAATGAGGCTGTGGTGTGCGGTGACATTCATCCTTACATTAATTGCTGCCATGATTTGACTACGCTGCCTAGGCTCTATCTGAAGGGAACTAGCGGGAGGATCAAGGGAATTTTTTTTAAATCTTTAAACCTGATATTCCTAATAAGCCATGGTTTTTATCTCTGAGGTTTGGTAAACAAGTTACTTCATCAATTATTCGAATGAGATTGGGTCATGTGTGCACACCTGTACATTTGGCCAGGTTTAATATAATTGATTCAGATTTGTGTGCTTGTGGGGATGTGAATGATCTTAATCATATTTTCTTTATCTGCCCTTTGAATGACATTTTTTTCTTTTATAATCATCTCGTCTCCATCCGTGTACCATTTCCTACGTCTATCAAATCTCTTCTTTCATGTTCTAATTCTAATATATATACAGCTTTATCTATTTTCCTGTTAAATAATCATTTGAAATTATAAATCCTTATACCTATCCTATCATAGTAATCCTATCTGATCCTTTTCCAATTCCGTGAGTAATGTACTTTTAAATCGTGATAAACGTTTCCCTGCTTTTGTCAGTGGTCAGTGGCATATGCGCAAACCGCGTGATGCCAATTAAAAAAAAAATACCGTGATTTGTACCTTTAACCTTTGAGGTTATAAGGCATTCTAAGGATATTTATATTAGGAATTAAAAAATATATTATAAAGTAATGAGTGATATACTAAAAGATAGTCGTTTTGTAAAATACTTAAATGATCCCAAGTATAAGCAAATACCTAAACATGAGAGAAAAATTAAAATTGACAAAAGATTTCAGTCAATGTTTGAAGATGAAAAATTTAAAGTTAAATATACAGTTGACAAACGAGGCCGGCCCGTAAACGAAACTTCGACCGAAAATTTAAGAAAATATTACGATATAGACTCTGATGAAAGCTCAAATCAAGAAATTGAAAAGGAATTTGAAGAGACTGAGACTCAAGGGCGTTTTGTAAAAAGAGCCCCAACACCTAGCGGAAATGAAGAAAATGACGAAAAAAATGAGCTTATTAATGATAGATTAGTGCGTGGTAAACTAGATAGAAAAACGAAGAAACGTTTGTTGGATTTAGATATTGATTATGCTCGTGGGGAAGGTATAATACCTTATTAAAAAAAAATTAAAGTAACAGCCTATACATGTCCCACTGCTGGGCAAAGACCTCCTCTGTAGAGAGGGTATCAGGGCATAGTCCACCACGCGGCCCCACTGCGGATTGGCAGACTTCACATTTTTTTGTTATTAATTCGAAAATATGCAGGTTTCCTCACAATGTTTTCCTTCACCACGGAGCATGTCATAAGTCAGCACTTAAAATTAAAAACTTCAATGGTGCTGGAACCAGGGAACAAACTCAGGTTGCTCAAGTATATTGAATTAAAGGCGAGTGCCCGAATACTGAGCTATCATGGCTCTTATATCTTATTAACTGATTCTTTTTATATGAATGCTAACCGCTGGCCACAGAAAACACCAGTAAGGTTGCAGATGCATTGCCACCTTTTTATAAAGTGGGCCCCGGGCTACCTCAATTACCAGACAAAACACAGAAGTATGACACTTCCACTTCATGCAGGTCTTCTATGAGGTTGTGGTACTTACCCGGATGGACTTGTCCATTCGGGCAACAGTCAAAGCTGTTGCATTATATGCATAGCCCTACCGCAGTTAATACACTCGATCTAACATGGCAGTAAACTTTACTTGAAGCATTGAACATGATACTTTACCTTTGTTTTGTAAAGCAATATAAATTATAAAATACAGTATTTACAATTTTTGAAAATATGGTGATTGTTTAATTATTGTTAGGAGTTCTTGTAACTGATAGTTCAAGTGATGAAGAGAGTAGCGAGGATGAGCAAGACAGTGAGTTAGAGCATGAATGGGGAGAATTGGACGCTGATGCAGAAACTACAGATGAATCAACAAAGAGGTATATAATGAAACACAAGTGTTGTAGTAGTTGTTATTTATATTAAACTAAGGTTATATGGATATTAAAATATATAGTTGTTCCTGAAAAATAAATTGATGATCTCATTCTCACATTTTTGTCTAATCATCATTTCTGCCTGAGTCTGCAAGGTTGTAATGTGACAATAAGTATTTTAAATTATCAATATTATCTAATGTAATATTTATGTTATCTAATGTATCTATGTAATCCTTTATCAAGCAGGTGATCAATTTACAAAGTAGATATCCAACTTCTGTAAGTAAGGGAAAATAAACTAAATTTTAGAAACTATCTTCTTTGTTTTTTAGAATTGCAATCTGCAACATGGATTGGGATAATATAAAGGCGTCAGATATTATGGTGTTATTGTGTTCATTTATACCTCCAGGCAGCATTATACATAAAGTATCTGTAAGTAGTTTACTATTCATATTAAAATAAAATATGGTAAGCAAAGTAAGGTACTAAGTACTTTATATAGAAAAACATTACTTTTCTTTTTATAAATCTTGGTAAACATGTTATTAAGTTGAAGGGGAATATAAATGAAATAATCAAGTTTCTTATATCAATATCATTAATTTTTATAGATTTATCCTTCTGAGTATGGTCTTAAAAGAATTAAAGAAGAGGAGATAAGAGGACCAATTGAGTTAACCGAAGACAAAATTGAGGAGCAGTCAGATGGTGGAAATGAAGAAGGTAATGTTATTGAATGGCATTTCTAGTTGTATGGGGTATCTCAACATTCAATGATCAAGCAATACTAATAAAAAGTAATTCAAACCTCTGCTAGTTTAAAAAAGGATTTTGTTTATTTGTCAGGCTTAAATTTGCATTAAATTCATAAATATGTCAATTCTTATTAATAACATTGAATTGAAGGCTTCAAATGTGACCCTTTTAAAATACAAACCAGAGATTTATTGCAATATTTGTATGTAGGATCAACATATCATATGGAGAAACTAAGGCGTTATCAATTAAACAGACTTAAATATTACTATGCAGTAGTTGAGTGTGACTCTATTGCAACTGCGGACAAACTATATAGTGAATGTGATGGCATGGAGTATGAGAGCAGTGCTACAAGGCTTGATATGCGGTTTATTCCAGACGATGTAACATTTGATCAGGTATATACTTAACAGTATAGATGACATTGGTATAAGTTGTATATTTTTTTATGGGAGAAAGTGGCACATACACAGGTGTTTGTTATTGAGTGATGACAATTGTCCATAGACATCTACTTCACCAGAGTGGCCATAAGTTTGAGCACTAGATAAATCACCCTGTCATTGTAAGCATCAAACACTCACCACTGAAGTTTATTTCATGTATATGTAACACACCAAATTCATACATTTAGCGTACAAAGCCTTATTATATTGGAAATTGCGCATATCGTTGTAGGGGCGTCATCTATACGCATTTAAATAAATTAATCATGTTATATTTTGATTCAAAAATTCAACAAGTGCATCCCCAATGGAATTGGATGAGTTCACTAGTAGCTGCTTCTTCTACATACTGCATTTATTCATACTATTGCCGCTTTTACTTTAGTAGAATAACCAAATATGTTTTATAAAATTAAACAAACTACAGGAACCCAGGGAAGAGTGTAACAAACTACCAGATTTAACACGATATAAACCACGACTGTTCACAACAACTGCATTACAGCAAGCTAAGGTGGAACTTACATGGGACACTACAAACCCTAATCGCACTGAAGCAATAAAAAGTGCTCTAGGTGGCAAAATTGATGACTTAGACCTGAAAGATTACCTAGCATCCAGTAGTGAAGGTAATGTAATTATATTTTTTAAATATGTGTGTCCATATTTTAAAGATGGGTCACTTATTAGTTATATTTAACAAATGTGGAAAAAAACTGTGGGTTTTGACTTATTTGTCACATTAAATATATATATAAATTTAAATACATAATATTAAATATTTAAATCAGAAAAATAATTACAGATGAAGAAAATGCATCTGATGAAGATTTTAATTCACAAGAGGACCAGCCCGATGAGGATCCTATTCAAAGATATAAAATGTTGTTACAAGATATAGAAAAGAAAGAAGAGAAAAAACATAATAAGGACATGGAAATGGAAATTACATGGGGTCTGGGTATTAAGGATAAAGCAGAAGAATTAGTACAAAAGAAACTCAATGAAGGTAAAATAGAAAGTAATATAAACAAAAAAATTAAATTACATATCATATACAGGGTGGCTTTTCTAAAGGTGCCCAAATTCACACAAGAGGTTCAGACTTGGTAGTATAATTCTTTATTGAAATAAAAACGAACTTTATTTTTTTTTAAATTGCCATTCTATTCCCTAAAAAACAGAACTTGTTGACAATGCGGTAGCCATTCATAAATGCGTCGCATACTTTTGAAACGAACTTGTGTGCGTGTTAGTTATGAAACATCGCGCGTAAAATGAGTTGCCCATAAATCACGCATATTTTGGGATGAGTTCAAATTAATGTAATTAATTAATTATGAGTGATTTTAAAAGTTAATTATTTTTATATAACATTATTTGCGTCTAGAATTTAATTAAAAATATGGATACACTTAGAAAAACCGCCCTGTATTTTGATTTTATATTATTGCTTTTATTTATAATAATAAATACTTTTTATTGGCATTCAATATATCTTTCAATGATTCCAGATAACAAAAATTTAACACCATTTGAAATACTTCTTCAAAAACGGAAAGAAAAGAAAAAAGAGCGAAAGCTACAAAACAAACAGAAAAAGGAAGGACAACATGACACTGAATCTGATAATTATGAATCTGATATTCCTTCTGATATAGATATGAATGATCCTTATTTTGCAGAAGAGTTCAATAAAGATGAATTTAAGAAGAAAAAAGTAAAAAACGACAATGAAGGTAAAAAAAATAATTCTGAAATAAATGAGGAAGATGAAAAAAATAAAGCTGAGTTGGAACTTCTGTTAGATGATGGGGACGGTAAGCAACATTTTAGTTTGAAAAAAATACAAGAAGCTGAAAGTACCAATAAAAAATCGAAAAGAAAAAAGAAATTAAAGGAGAAATTGAGAGAGCAAAAAGAAACCATGCCTAACTTTGAAATAAACCTTAATGATCAACGCTTTAATGCTATATACAATTCACACCTATATAACATTGACCCTAGTGATCCTAACTTTAAGAAAACAAAGAATATGGAGAAACTCATCCAAGAGAAAATAAAAAGGCGACCAGCTGATACTCTTACAGAGCAACAAGGTAATCCACCTAAGAAATCAAAAGAAGATACTGAACTCAGTGTTTTAATTAAAAGTCTCAAACGGAAAACAAAAGATGTTAACAAAAATAAAAAATAAGATTTGCCATTTCATAGACATTTTATTTCTTTTTTTTTATTATAATTTTTACATATAGGTATACTTAATACCTTTTAATCTTAGAATCTTTTACACTTACGTTAAAGTACTCTAAAATATGTATAACAAATATATTCATACATAAAATTATATATGTATACATAAATATAATCATCATGATCATCTCTTGTCTCATAGCAATTTGCAATTCAATTGGTCAGCTAATTGCCACTTTAAATTGCAGACCCGCTTGACTATGTCGATAACTCTTGTTCGTCTGCGGATCACTTAATTTCTGATCCGATTTTGCAGAGACATAATGTAGTAAATATAATATCGTATATTGTATAGTATAATAAATGAATTATGATGGTTTCAGAACAATCCTTCAATTTCAATCAACAATAAAACAAAAAACATCAAATTACGACCCGCTTGCCGTAATGGATAATAATAATGGATTAATAATAGGGTGTGGGTTCGACCCCCACTAGTGGAAAAATATTGTGTAATTAACATATTGTTTTTCGGTTCACAAACTAGTTAGGCCGTTTTGAGAAACCTGTATAAAAAACGACTAACTAATGATGCAAACTAATTTTGAGGGAAGTACATTCCATAGAATATTTTGCACCGGAAAGGAAGAGCAGACGAAACCAAAGTTGGTCGTTTATTTTAATCTCAAGGCATTCTCTACCAATCAAAACGTGGGTTATGTCGGACTCGCACCAGCTAAAACCCCCATGATTTCCACCCAGGCTCATATCGGTAGGGTCATGGCAACGTTTTCGCACACTTCTGCGACCTTGACAGTGCTGGCCGCCTCTTCTCGGAGAACAACTCCCGCTGTCCTGACCAGAGGCCATGGGAGCCAGTGCTTATGAGTAGCAAGCCTCCTAGCCCCGAGCGGCGGATCTGGTCTGTGGGTCCGCCGCTCACCACTTTCGGGAACCCGGTCCCGGTCGGAAGGGTTTACTAGTCAACCTATGCTATGGTGGGCCAACCTTTATTGCAGTATTCAGTTGACTAAAATTAATAAATAATATAATAAAAACTTTTACATACATATGTAAATACTAGCGGACCAACAAACGTTCTCCTGTATACACGACGTAAATCCGACAACTTATTAATAATAATAAAAAAAAAGTTAGTGTTGTGAATTGTGAATCTAAACAATTCTCGAATCGACTTGAAGACACACAAAGAATTTCATTAAAATCGGTCCAGCCGTTTAGGAGTTCAGTGACACACACGTACAGAAAAATTATATATATATAAAGATTGATATACATATATTTACAAACAAATGCTAGTGAAAAAAAAAGAAGAATGATTTTGGGACTTAAAATTCTAATACAACAATCTTTTAAAAAGCTCGTCGGGGTTTGTTAATTCTAATCTTCCCAATGTTAATTATGTTGTTGAATGTAAGGGACCCGGTGAAATTAAGAGAGATAGTAATCTTATTATTTGTGGAAGAGTGAAGATCTTTGGATATGAAGAAAAAACATAAGCATGGAATTAATGGTATAGAATACACGCAAACGGCGTTCAGTTGTTTTACGTAAAAAACGAACAATTATAAATCTTATTTTTGAATTGGTCAATAAAATACAATGCTACCAAAACTCAGTATATTTTATCATTATAATACATGTATACAATAGATAACATCAAAACATTATGAAAAAATGTCAACATTATTTTAAACTTATACTATAAACACTTAGCTATTTGTGTTTTACTTAGGGCCTTCTTTATTTCTCGACCTAATGCAGCACCAAGTGGAGGGGGAACAGCATTTCCAATCTGGAATAAAGATTTCTGCAGTTATATTTATGAAGTAAATGTGCTTAAAACATACCTATTTAAACAAAGTTTTTGCACTATATATTTTCAAGAATCCTCTTGTAACGTTATAACGTAATGCGGTTTTATAATAAAATAAAAAAAAATGAAAAAAGTTTTATGCAAATTTCATTTTGGCCTAAAAATATATTATAAATTTGATATATTAGAAACATTTTAAAACACTAACTGCGCAAAGAACCGAAAATACTGTACGTCATTCAAATTCTCATTACAGCGGGAATAGAACCAAGTTATATATATAATAGGTACTGTTGTTATGTATCTGCGTCAACTGAACAGTATCTCCGTCAACAACAGTATCTCGGTTAACTGAACAGAATCTCCGTTAACTGAACAGTACGTTACTGATCCGTGATATTGTGGTTAATTTAGAGATCTGGATCTTTATTTTAATAAAAAAATATATAAAAGAAAAGGGTCAATTTCAAGTAAAAGTAATCAATACAAGATTTTTAAACCTTTAACGAGCTTTTGTTTTATAATTCAAAAGTGAGTGACGTGCAAAACCCTAATCTTTATATTTTACAACAGCACTAGCCTGTAAACTTGGTTTCTCAAATTCTTGATATATTTATAGATAAATAAATAACATCGTTATCTAAATGCACTCGAAGAACACAACGTTTTTCCAGTAGCGGATCCCCTCAAGCAAGGCTTCACTAACAATTTCACCTTATCAAGACATTTCATTCGACTTATATTTCAAGTCGAATGAAATGTCTTGATTGAATGTGCTTTTCTTTGCATTGGATTACCTGTCGATGTTTGTCTTGTATGGACCCGGCGAACAGGTAGGTGTCCCGGAATCCTTGAGAGCGGGCGCACTCGCGCACAGACACCACGCGGCTCTGCTCGGGGTGCAGCACGCGACCCTGCTTACCCATCGGCTCGGGGTCGGTGACCGTCGTGCTGAAGTAGCCGTCCCACGATATGCGACCTGGCACGGCAAGAAACTTATAAATTAAGGCTCTGTATGCAGTAAAAATAGGTTTTTCAAAAGATTTTTTTAGCAAAATCTACACATTTTATAGCAGCATTGTTTCCAAAACATATTCTCGATAGAAAAAAATCATGAAACTACCTCTAAAAGAGAAATTCAAAACAAAAAATGAACGTAATACATCAACAAATCTTAATGAAATTAATATCAGTGGTGTAGAATATATTAATAAAAAGGATTGTTGTTTTAATTTGTTGATTGATGTAAGATATTTCTAAATATTAATTTAATTAACTAAAATTAATTCGAACGCGATGGGCAAAACACCGCGCCGCCGCGGCGTTGTTTCGGCTCTCTTCCAACTCCACACGTTGAACAGAGAGCGCTGAGGCACCTTGCCAGATGGACCTATGCCGCTCGTCTTCCGCTCACCGTTACGAAATATGTTCCGTATTTATTTATTATTGAGGGTTATAATTTTATTAGATCTTTCGAAAACATGAAACTAAAAAATGTATATTCACATATTTCGTATTTTTAATTATTTGTATGAATTAACAACTAAAGCGTACTCTTTTCAATATCTTATCTTGTCATTGATAAGTTTATCAGTCCTATACAAACAGTGTAAAGGCAGGGATGCCAACTTAGGAATTTTCTTCCGAAATTTAGGAATACAAAATGTGGAATGGAAGTTTATTGGGAGGTAAATTTTTATGGGAATATTTTTTTAGGAGTTAAATTTTATTCACATTTTCGAAAAAAACTACACAAAAAAAAATTCTGTGCCGTTCTGCAGTTGGAGAACAATCTATCAGATCTCTTGCCGTGCAACAGTTGGAGAACAATCTATCAGATAATAAACCAAGTTTTCATTATTTAAAATTTTTAACAAGTCTTATATTGTATATTGTTTTTAATTTGTTTTATTAAAATATTTAATTTTTCACCCTAAAACGAAAACTATTCTTTTGCGAACACGAAAAATATTTTTTATTATAATGTATTATAATTTTTGTATTTTCCACATTTTATCAAATAACAACAAAATAATTAATTGATTAACAAATTAAAATTGGAAAAAGTTGTATCAACCATGACGCTCGGACCAATAGGCTACACGATGTCTGCGGAAGGGAACAATATTTCGATTCTAGTTATAATTATTGTCGTTTATCGATATAAGGAATTTTATCGATAATTTTTTAAATATAATTTCATTGAGGAATTAATATAACGTAGTAAGTCTTTCACATTTAAAGGATAAATTAAAGATATAAAGTTTAAGAAAATACGTAATAAAAAAGTCGTATTCGTAATTTCTGCCGTGGAGACTATGAAATTGCGTAATTAAAGTTTAAATCAAAATAAATAATTATTCCTTTATTTATTGTTTTGTTGTAAGAAATGTTATTTGCCTTTATTAATTTATTTGACCTTAAGATGTATTTTTAATCAATTCTAATCCGTTTCCTGATAATTTAAAATAATTAATAGGAAGTTTTTCTAAAATTGTTGATTGCTTTCACATACTTTATATTTGTTTGTTTATTATTATTCCTAATAATATAAAAGTAAAAATTTAAATTGTTTATAGTGCTAATCTTTGCACTTAAGATTGAACATTAAAATATGTAGAAAAAGTGCGAAAAGAATAAAAGTGCGAAAAGAATTTTTTCTACATATTTTAATGTTCAATCTTAAGTGCAAAGATTAGCACTATAAACAATTTAAATTTCTAAAAAAGCAATGGCGACATCTCTCGTTCGAATTATCGTTGTAAAACGATATTCGAAATTGTTTGTATGCTGGAAAGGATATAACAATAGATGGCGCCAAGCATTGCTTCAAATGCTAAGAAAACAATGTAGAGGAATGCGTTAAGATTTTCGTCGGTGTGGTCATCAGCCGTTTAGCTCAGTGGCTAGAGCGTCAGGCCGCGAATGCCGAAGACGTGGGTTCGATTCCCACAGCGGCGACAATCTTTTCGCACTTTTTCTACATATTTTAATATAAAAGTAAAGTTCAATCATGATCTATAAAAGATATTATAGAGATCATCTGTGTAAATTTTCGAAAGCCTTCCATGATACTATCGATAGTGTCCTACGGCCCATCACTATACACGAGGTAATGAATGGTCTAGCGGCGCGTCGACGAAACTCGCGCGCTTCGCGCCGCTAAGCGGTGTTACCCCTCCTCCGCTTCCTCATACTTCATCACCCAAATAGTTAAAAATTCACTGCATACAGCGCCTTAAGTACTGCCGCACTATCACGGCTGAAAACAACTGTTGGCTAAAGCAACGTCAGGTTCCTTAGCTCCCTTCTCCTCCGAACTAGGTCCCATCTAGTCGTGACAGAGGGGCGTAATAGACTTTGCTCGGTCGCCCACGGCGTAGCTAATGGGATCCCACACTCGGCTGGACTATGGTATAAGCCCGGCCCGAGGTGACCTCTCCAAGTGGTCTCATTGACTCCATTTTGGATGCGTACAGGGAGGGTAAGGGTGAGGGTGAGGTTGGTAGAGGTGGAGCCAGTCTCTCTGTTCTCTGCAAACGAGGTGCTACAACTCACAATCGAAAACATGCATTTCTTTGATTGCGGTCTGTTCGGGCCTAAATACAGAAAAATAACTTTCTTTATTTTTCTGTATTTGCCTTTTTCGGTGAATCTCGCCGGGATACTTTTATTTACTTCGCCATCAAATCTTTATCGTTAAGCCGCAAAGCGAACCCCAGTCGGGTAGCAGAATTGTTATAGTATATAACGACAATAAATTATAAGCCTATCTACGGCTGAATAGATAATAATAGATAGATAGACGAACGACAGTGGGCAGCGACATACCGTAGAGGCCGGCCCAGTTGTTGTGGCGGTTGGCGGTGTGCGGCAGGCACCAGGGTATGAGGGTGTTCTCCTGCTTGTCGTGGGGGGAGCAGACGCCACCGGCGGCGCAGGCGCACACGCCGCGCAGGGCGCCACGCGATGAACGCCCATTCTTCTTGTCCTCGTAGCGATACTGCAGCACCTGAACATAGAAATGTCGAAAATATATTTGACTTAAATATTAAAAATTTTTTATAGTGCTAATCTCCGCACTTAAGATTGTAACATTAAAACATGTAGAAAAAGTACGAAAAGATTGTCGCCGCTGTGGGAATCGAACCCACGTCTTCGGCATTCGCGGCCTGACGCTCTAGCCACTGAGCTAAACGGCTGATAGCCACAGCGACGAAAATCTTTGACTTTATACATAGATATTTTCAGTCGATATATTTGGATCCGATATATCGATGCAAAATATTCGATATTGAAAATCGAATCGAAAACGACATTCGAATCCGGCACAGAGTTCATGTGTCAAATATACAATACTTGTCATACCTTTTTTTTTTGGACAACGGGGTTTCTAAGACATCAGCCCTGCAGTCTCGGGCTTATAGAATAGGGCTAAGGTATTCCCTATCCCGTCCATTAGACACGTGACGACTTTTTTTAGGATTTTTTAACCCTCTCCTCCCCCTGGGTGATACCTGGTGAAGTTTAGGACTACCCCCTACCTCCTACCCAAAATTTATGTAGCCGTTGCATTTCCCCACACACAATGGTATATGGCAGTACCACATACCAGTTGTGTGGGGAAATGTAGGGGTACACTACAAAATAGACGCATAATACTCATCCACGAAGCATGACGGTATCCTCACCTTACATTTGGTGCCGTCGGAAAGCGTCACCGACACATTCGGCAGGTCCCGCCAGTCGGAGCCGGGCGTCGTCGGCACCCTGCTGATGCGGGCCTGGATGAGCGGCGCCATGTTCTTACAGATGTGGTCGCGCAGCCTCGCGCTCTCGTCCTTACTCCTCACCGAGCGCTGGAAGTGGCTCTCCGGCATCGAGCCGTAGTCAATCTCGAGCTGGTTTGCGCCGTTGCACACGCTCGGCAGGTCGCTCATGGCGTCGCGGATGGTGCACGTGCGTCTCGGCGCGGACTCGTCCCAGCTTACGTTGGTGGCGAAGCGCTTCCCGTCGATGGTGGCCGTCAGCGAGCTGGCGCGCCTGCTGAACACGTGCGTCGGCTCCGGGTACATAGGCAGCCGGTAGCCCGGCGCCGCCGCCAGTATGATCAGCCGCCGCCTCGTCTGCGGCACACCGTAGTTGCCCGCCTGCAGTATGCCGAACGTGCACTGGTAGCCCATGTCGAGCAGCGCCCTCAAGGTCAGCTTCAGCACCATGCCCTTCTTGAAGGCGACGAAGTTGCGCACGTTCTCCAGTATGAAGTACTTCGGCCGGTAGTAGTCGCAGTACGACAGGTGCGAGGCGACCAGCGAGTTCTTGAAGTTGGAGTACTCGCGCGAGTTGAACCTGTTCATGCCGGAGAAGCCCTGGCAGGGGGGCCCGCCGCACAGCAGCTCCACCTCCCCCTGCGTGGGGAGGCGCAGGCCGCCCTTGCTGTGCGTGGCGCCGGACATGACGTCTTTCAGCAGGGCGTTGCAATCCTCGTTGTACACCGTACAGGCCTTGTTGTTCAGCGAGTAGGCGTGCGCGGCCGCCTCCACGTTCTCGACCGCCCACTTGCACTCCGCCACGCCCGAGTGGTGCAGGCCCTCCGAAAGACCCCCGCACCCGGCGAATATGTCTAACGTCCTCAGCGGCCTGACTTTCACGTCTACGTTCGCGGCGTTCGGCTCGGCCGGCTTGCTTGACTTTCCCTTACCTTTGCCTTTATCTTTACCTTTGTCGGTCCTGCCGACGGCGGTGGCGTGGTGTGGCACATCTTCAATCTCCTTAGTGGCTCTATTGTATGCCATTCTGAAGTAAAACCGGCTCGGATCTTTATCGAGCCACTCGTGCAGCGTTTCCTGGTATGGAACGTTCCTTTCGTAAATCAAGTGGCACGGCCCCACTACGGACGAGAAGGAGATTTCTTTGATCTCGTCACTCCAATAAACGACATTCAAGTCTTCCTGCTGAGGGAACCGATTGGAAGTGTTCTCGGGTCTATATAGAATGTTCACTCTGATGTAAATATCCTGAGGAACTACAAGGGGTCCTTCACTTGCCGCAGTAACCGCAGCTATATGACCCACGCAAAACGGTTCCCCGGTGTCAACGTTGGAGCCGCGTAGGTTATTATCACTCTTACGATAATACTCGGGATAGATATCCTCATCGACTTTTTCCAATTTAATTTTGTTATTATTATCATTAATATTGTTAAAGGTGTTTTTAAGTTTAAATGTGCCAGGTTTTAAAAACACGCCCATGCCTTTTTTGTATTCGAAATCTTGCCATCTAACTGAAGTCCATTCTGTTCTGTTGGCTTCTTTGACGTACATTGACTTTTCCACAACCTTGCCGAGAACTTTAGGGATGTCCTTTGCGTCTTTTCTGGTTTTTCTCTCACAAGACGGACAGAACCTATGTTTTCTTAGCTCATTAGGACAAGTCGGATCCTCTGGCAAATCTTCAAACCGTGCCGTAAACCTTTCGTAATATTTGTTGCAGTAGTAGGTCTTGCCATCGTCCTCGAAAAAGTCTTTATCTACTTCCTTGCCGCCAAGCTTGAACCAATCTTTGGCAGTCTGCTTTATCTCCACGTTAGCTTTCCTTAAAACGGAAGACAAGGGAGCGCCGTGACAACAGCGATCCCCTAAAAATACTTCCCTCGGATCGCCAACTTCGCCTAAAACTGTGTCGGCAGCCCGTATGAACACCTCGCCGTGAAAATAGCCGCATTTCGGATTGAATGTTTCTTTCCACATGTAGGTCACTCTCGTGACCAAGGCTGGAATGTTGACCTGGGAGGTTTCGACCATAACGAAATCACCGATTCTGAGCTCGGAACCATCGATCTCAACACTCTCGTAGTACACTTTGGTGGTGTCCGCCTTAACTGGATCGCCGATCCACGTGACCTTCCTGTTGTTGGAACCGGTCAGTTTGACAGGCACCGCGTCGTCGATCTTGTGTTCCTTGCGCTCCGGCATTTGACGGTACTCTTCCTCATCCTCTGGCTCAGAGTCCTCAGCTTGTTCTACGGCCATGTTTGGACACAGCCTTCGAACGCACGCTTTCTTCGTCCGCCCATGGCCACCGAATTTCGCCATAGCACGACAAGCGTTGCACTCCCCACAATCTGGCAACTGACAGGCCTCACAAACGCCACACCTCTTCCTCCTCAACACTAACTCGTGGTTCGTTTTGTCCAATTGATTTGTAAAGAAACTTTCAAACGTTTTCTGCACTAGCGGAGTGGTTGTGGCTTTCGTCCATGCTTTCTTATCAACTTTCTTGTAATCTATTTTCGCACGAATCTTTCGTTTGCCAAATTTTATGCCCATTAACTTGATTAGCTCCCGGATGCATGGCAAGGTAATTAGGGGTTCGTCGTCTTCATTCGTCTCTAAACTAACTACTTGGTCACAGACAAACTGCGCATGTTTATGTAACATTTCCTCCGACATCTTTTTATCGTTTAGCTCAGGAATAGTCGCTTGTCTGATAATACCAAGTAGGTCTTCATATGTGGGTTGCAGATAATGATACTCTTCTAAATATTCGACCACAACTTTACTAAGCCAAATTTTTTCATATAAATTATCCATAAGTGGCTTATATGCTTCACTGGGCTTAAGCAAGTTGTATTCACCGAATTCAGTAGATAGAGTGATGCAGTTTCTAGTACCACCATCAAAACCATGAATGAACCTGTAAATATTTTAATCTATCTCAAAGGCTTCCAAAGTTGATAAACAATTAAATAGTTGTCATTATGGTGACCTTGTGCCTAACGGTGGTAGGGCCACACAGCAGCCTCGGCTATTGCACGAATGGGCAGGCCCGTCCGGGTAAGTACCACGACCTCACAGAAGACCGGCGTAAAGTGGAAGTATGACAAATACTTTCGCGTTTCGTCTGGTGAGTGAGGTAGCCGGAGCCCAATTTTCCCTCGGGTGTGGCAGATGTCCATGGGCGGCGGTATTCACTTAACATCAGGTGAACCGTCTGCTCGTTTGACAACTTTTTGCATAAAAAAAAAAATGAGTTCATTATTCTCTGCATGGTCAAAATCATCCTGATTATAGGGAACCACAGCTCTTACCAGATCAATTCTAGTAAGAACTGTGGGAATTGAATAGGGATGTTGCAACAAACAAACCTTAACAAATATGAATATACCAATATGATTAAAAAATTTATGGATACATATTTATTTTTACTTATAGTCTCTGCACTCAAGATGAAAATTTAAATGACGCAGGTTCGAACCCCGCAGCACCGAAACTTTAGTTCATTTATCTACAAAAATTCACATATAACTATTAGTAATCTCTATGAATATAAGAAAGCTAGATTAATGGAAATTAAAATTCCATATAGGAGAGATTTCTTAAATAATTGGAGGGAATTCGCAAGGATGATAAGGACAAAATACTGGCTGACAAAAATAAAAAGAAATGAGGAAACAGGAAAGGGGTAGCGGGAAACCTTAGTTGATTTAATGGTTTAGGATTCTGAGAAGTTAGAAGGGGTAACTAAAGGGTAATATTTTTGAGAATTATGTTAAGGGAAGTCGACATAATCATTTACAATTATATATTTATATATATATACGACTTTAATTCTTTCTGTCTCATCTGCTGGCTAGTTTTTATCCTTATATTGCATGTTGTATATTGATTATGTAGAGGGTATAATAATTGTATATTAAGCGGAGGTAGTTTAATAAATAAATGAGTTTGTTTGCAACCTTGTCTGATGTTTGTATCTTTTAATGGCGACGAGGAAAATTAATTAATTTATTGAGTAAAATGGCGTGCAATTTCTCTAATGTTGCGTTTCCCGGACAGTTTGATCCACGGACTGATAATTGGAGTGAATATAAAGAACGTTTTTTGTGTGCTTTAGAGGCAACGAATGTAAATGGTGACGACGTAAACAAAGCACGTGCGTTGTTTTTATCACAGTGTGGAAAGGAGACTTTTTCATTAATTGTTTCATTATTAGTGCCTAGAAGACCTACTACAGTGGCATTAAATGACATTTTGGCAGTGCTTGACCAATTCTATGAACCTCAAGTGAATGAAATCTTACAATCTGATAAATTTCATAAACGTCAACAAAGTCAAAGTGAAAATATTCAGGAATATATTGCAGCTATCGGCTCGCTGGCTTCTAAATGCAATTTTATAGACTTAAAAAGACAGCTAAGAGATCGGTTAGTGTTAGGTGTGCGCGACGAGCGGCTCCGATGCGAGTTGTTAAGGACGAAAAATCTTACGTATGAGTTGGCGGTGCAATTGAGCCTAAACTATCAAGGCACATTCTTGGATTTGTACCCAGATACAGGGTTGTTAAAACAAACTCCGTCCACAATCACGGAACAGATGGATATTGGTCTAATTAAATTGATCAAGTGTCGTCATTGTGCACGGTCACACAACAGTGGTGATAGATGTCCTTTTATTAAAGCCAAATGTTTTTATTGCAAAAAAATTGGACATATTGCTGCTGCTTGTATGAAGAGACCTAACAGAGTGCACCGGGTGGAGGAAAGTCTGACTTCCAATTCTGGAGATGAAAAACCTGATTACATGATGAGCACATTTGTTTGTTCAGATAATTGCCGATCACCATTGAAAGCAGAAGTAATTATCAACAGTGTGAAGGTTACTATGGAAGTGGACTCGGGTGCTGCAAGGACTATCATGGCTGAAGAGACATACAAAAAGCTGTGGGCTGTTCCACCACCCTTAGAGAAGACACGCGTGAAATTGGTGACGTGGACCCGTGAAGAACTAAAGGTTTTAGGTCAAGCTCATGTTCGAGTGTCATTAGGAAACAAAGAAGCTCAATGTGAGCTGTTAGTGGTTTCTGGTTTTGGGCCTAGCCTTTTAGGAAGAAATTGGTTTGATATATTGGGCATTGAGATAGCTGGTATATGCTGGACAGAAAATGAAAAGATTGATGAACTATTAAAATCTTTTCCAGAGTTATTTAAAGAAGGTCTTGGAGAGTACAATTCGTTGAAGTTACGACCTGATGCTTCTCCGCGTTTTTTGAAGGCGCGCCCTGTACCGTTTCCCTTAATAAAACAAGTAGAAGAACAATTGACGCGAATGGTTGATGAAGGGATTTTAACCCCTGTTAAATATTCCCAATGGGCAACACCTTTAAGAATTGTGAAAAAGGATGATGGCTCCCTGCGCATATGTGGTGACTACAGGTCAACTGTTAATCTAGCAATTGAGACTGATACCTTCCCATTGCCAGCTGCTTGTGAATCATTTGTGAAATTAAGTGGAGGAAGGGTGTTTAGTAAAATTGATTTGAAACAAGCGTACATGCAGCTGAAAGTGGATGAGGACACTGCTATGCTTTTGACACTCAATACTCCATTAGGATTAATGAAAATGAACCGTCTCGCTTTTGGAGTAAATGCAGCTCCTGGTATTTTCCAACGTGTAATGTCTACAGCACTGGCAGGGATGGATGGGGTAGCATGTCTTTTGGATGACGTGGCTATTACTGGCAGAAATAATGAAGAGCATGATCAAAGGCTATGGGCAGTCTTGACTAAATTAAATACAATGGGTCTTAGATTAAATCTGAACAAATGTGTATTTGCGTCAAATCAGATAAGTTTCTTGGGACATATGATTGATGCCGAGGGATTGCACCCATCATTGATTAAAGTAAAAGAAATAAAAGAGAAACCTGCACCTAGGAATAAAGAAGAATTACGTGCATTTTTGGGGTTATATAACTTTTATGAAAAATTTATTAAAGATAAAGCCACAATACTAGAGCCCTTGTATCGATTACTGGAGGCAAAGAAACTTTGGATATGGGGTCCATTGGAACAAATTGCTTTTGAGAAAGCTAAAGATGTGTTGTCTTCAGATTTAACTTTAGTTGGTTATGATTTAAAGAGAGAGTTATTGTTAATTTGTGATGCATCAGACTATGGTGTGGGTGCAATTATTGCACATGTGATGGATGATGGATCAGAACGACCAGTGATGATGGCATCCAGAACGTTACAACCCCATGAACGACGGTATGGACAAATCGACAAGGAAGCTCTAGCCATAATTTTCGGAATTACAAAATTTCATGAATTTCTATTAGGAAGGAAGTTTTGTATTATTACTGACCATAAGCCGCTAATCGGTATATTTAGTCCAAATAAACCTATTCCTGATCAAATTTCACCTAGATTGTTACGATGGTCATTAAAGTTGGGGTGTTATGAATATGAAATTAAATATAGACCTGGGAAATATATTGGTAATGCAGATGCTCTCAGTCGATGGACATCTGTAAACACTTCAGAAGAACAAGGAGTGGATGTATTAGCCGATGTGTTACTCCTTGAGGAACCTCCCCCTGGATTGAATCTGGATGCGGCAAGAATTGCTGCTGAGACTAAGAAGGACCGCGTATTGCAAAAGGTGTTATTTCACGTCCTACATGGTTGGCCTCCTAATAATACTGATCCCACTCTCAAGCCGTATTGGAAACGTCGTGAGGCTCTTTCACACAATAAAGAATGTCTATTGTGGTGTAACAGCATTGCATCCGGATAGTGGGCCAAACCGCTCAGAGCGACAGCTGGAGGAGGAAGCACAACGGACTTCTACCCGAACCTTTGCGATAGATCAGCCAGTTTTGGTTCGTGCCTATGGACCAGGAGAGAAGTGGCGACGGGCCACTATCGAGTATGTCGAAGGTCCAGGTTGTTATAGGGTGAGAACGGAAGATGGACAGTTGATCCGTCGACATGTCGACCAAATACTGGCACGGTCCAACGCCCAAACCGTAAGCCGGTCTCCAGACACCTTGCCCATATCACCTCAATTCCGCAGAGGATCAAGTTCAATATTGGTTGGGACTGTTATTGTTAATTAATCCTTAACATTATGTTGTAACTTGATTATTGTGATGGAAAGGTATGTTGTATATTGATTATGTAGAGGGTATAATAATTGTATATTAAGCGGAGGTAGTTTAATAAATAAATGAGTTTGTTTGCAACCTTGTCTGATGTTTGTATCTTTTATTGCACATTCTAATTGTATTTAGCACATCACTATAGCGCTAAATACAATTAGACATATTTTTACATACCACCTATACCTCATTCTCTTTATTTAGATCTTCACATAGCTTTTGTATGATAATTGTTGAAGATACAAATTTTTTATCAAATATTTTATTATAAAATTTATTTTTTAACACAGAAACATTTTATTACATGGTTTAAAGCATGAAACTTAGCATCAATATACCATTGTGTTTTTACTATACCGCAACTGCTTATTTAACTTATTTTCCAAACATCAGCAAATAAGGAGCAATTTGAATTTACACAAAGATGCAGCTAGAAAGATATAAAATCGTTGTATCATGTTAGATGTCTTTGGGAAAATTAACTTGAATAGGTATAAGTTAAATACCTACACCTAATTTGTCAAATTTTTTAAAATAATTTTAGTATAAAACTCTCACCACTCAATGATTGGACCAACATCTTTCACAGGAATGGAGTCTTCATCAATCTCTTGGGAGTCAGAGCAAATAGATTTTAAATATCCAGACATATAGATCCTTACATCACTTTCAACAAGGCCTCCGTCAATTGGGCAAAGGTGACCATGTTGGTCAAATATACAGAAGCCGTAATGTTTGTTTGAGGTCTTTCCATTATATCACCATCGTCACCTTTAAATAAATAACATTTCAAATAAAATAAAAACAGTACTCTCACATCTTTTAACTCTTTACAAAAGATAGAGATAGTTAATGCAATCCATTACATTGAGCCTTGCTACCATACACCATGCGAAAATTTCTCTAGGTAGCGCACCAAATGCAAAAATTCAAACAAAGGAACACACACATGTTCATTGGCTGCATTTCACTGCAATTCAATACATACTAATAATAAGCTATCTTTTGTTGTTTAATACTTTAGTACTTTAGAAAAGGGAAAATTATATTTACCAGATGCCAATAACAATTTTTCATTGGTCAATGCTATAAATTCTTCCACAGCATTTTGTGGATGCCCTTGATAGTAAATTATATCAGAATTATTTAAAAATTGACCACAAATTTCACATTTTTCATTGTCAGGAGATACAATAGGCAGAAGTTTCCTTTCCCCATTGTTCACTATTGGCTTTTCTTTATCATTCAAACTTGATAGAACATTATCCTCTTTATCTAATAAATTTACATTATCTTCACATTTAGAAACATCTTCCGATTGCTTAAATGCTTCGGTTTCTTTTTCCATATTTATCATAATATCACTCTTTTGAACATTTTTCTTAACTTCATTTTCGTCATTTTTAATTTTATCACCGTCTTCAGTCTTATTAACAATATCAGATTTCATTTTTTTCTGCAAAGTGACATTCATTTTAGTTTTTTTGAGCTTTTATCTTCATAGATTTGAGAACTTGAAGATTATATTATGATTGCAATTAGATTATAATATTATTATTATAAACTTTATTCACTTTTGAATAAAAAGTATATAAGAACACTCTTGTTTTCAATAGCTATGTTCTGAACTAATACAAAGTCAATCCATCAGCTAGTTTTGATTTTGGTAGACACAAACATACAGAAGTTAAATTATTATATATAAAGAATAAACTTATGTTTATCAATTTAATTCTTCATTAATAAAGCTAGTAGTTAAATAAAAAGAAAACAATTAGAAATATTATTTGTTTACTTTTATACTTGCAATTTATGTATGTAGAATATAATTGACATTTTATAATTTATTAGCAAATTGAATAAGTATCAAAAATACCATATAAAAGCATCAGATAACCTTTCCCCAACCAGAACAATTTTCAAGTATCATTACACACATTTAAAAATATATTTAAATGCATCAAAAAATAAAACTAACCAGCGCATACTCTTCCACTTCATCAGAATCACTCCTACTTCTTTTTACAGGAAACATATTTGTTATCTTCAATTGATTCCCATTTTTACCAATTCTCCTATTGGACCTAAATACATTGTATTACATAACATAAGTATTAATTAAGTAAATTAACAACCTACACAGTGTGTGGTTACAAAGGCGACAATAAATGAACACACATCTAACGCTATAAGATAATAATCATAAAACAATATAAAATGTTAAAAAAATCCAAAATCCAGTCTCTCCGTCTAAAAGTATGTTTTATTTCTTTTATGAACGGGTTTGAATGTTTCAAATGAACTTTACCTTAGTTTTATATGTAAGGGTATTCTAAAATTGTTTTGTTTGGTAAAATTTTATAACTTGGTAAATATTGATGTTTAAAAAATTTAAATGCTTAATACAATTTTAAATAGTTATCCTCTAAATATGTGTTCATTTATTGCCACGGTTGTAATGACACGCTGTATATTTCTCACTGCTTTAGAAAGGACAACTCTGTACAAAGGGTATTAAAGTATAGTCCACCATAGGAACTCACTACGTATAGGCTTCACAATCTTCCTAATAACTTATGATTTCAGAACGAGCTTTCCTCATGATATTTTTCATTACGGAGCATGTATAAAGTCAGCACTTAAAATTGTAATTAACAATTTCACTGGTTGCAACTGAACTCAGGTTGCTTGAGGTTTTGAATTAAATGCGAACACCCTGACCCTAAGCTATCATGGTGTGACTCAATTACTTATTAACAATACTTTTATTTTTATTTCGACCGATTATTTTTTTATTTTAATATTAGTCTCTTCACTCTCACACAAATGTAAACATAAATTGTCGAACATTTTTCGCCATTGCCAGTAATCGCACTTGCGCTTTCCGTATTACTGGGCCAGACGCTTTACAGTTTACACACTAAGCAAAGCAGCAAAACTTTTTGACAATTTATCTACAAACACTTATCATAGAATAATAGTTTTGTTCGCTTTTGCATGTCATAAAACGAATACAAAAAAAAATCACTTACATGTTGGTTGTTAATTTACTTATCGAATTAGATACGACAACGACATGTTCATCTTTCGTTGATGTGGTATTGGTCTCTAAAGTATTTCCATCATTTTTTTTACTAACGAAACCAAGGATTGTGAACTATTAAATAAAACACTAAAAAATTTCTGTCAAATAACTAAACACAATATACTAAAGTGAATAAAACAGTAATACATTTTGAAATTATTTTTTAAGTCTCAATCATTGTTTGCGTCAACGTCAAAATTGGCGCGAAACTAGCTAAATAAACTTTAAGTTATTTAAAAGTGAGTACGGTATAAGGTGTGATCCCATCAGAAATATTTTTATATAATTATTTTCATCGATGAAACATTTATATAATATTAATAAATAATAATATATCACTTTTCTCCTTAAATTTAATAAAATTTATAAGTTATTAAAAGATTAAGTTATTCAAGTATAACAATTTTGCACAGCGAAAGATTTGGGTTTTATTAAAATAACTCAAATACTTCCTGAAAATTATATTACCTTCAAATATTCATAAAGGTGATAATAGCTGTAGTTTATTCATTTTTTAATAGAGATAACATATATTTTAAGAGTTATACATGTAGTTCTATCAACGACAGAATTTTTTGTAACCTTTTACAACAGCCAAGTTTTTATTTAAAAATATAAATATGTAATTGGTATAGAACGTTGACGGAGAAAACAATTACGGTACCTATCTCGTCTATTGCCTACACAAACCAAATATTAGATTATTCCATCGATATATATAAAAATGTCAATACAAATCTCGATATATCTCGATATAGAGGAGTAAATATAGGTATTATATAATATATATAGGATTCAAGAATATAGGTATGTAGATCTACATAATTGTATATAATATATTTAATTCTGACTGTATTATGTAGATCAAATTTTCAGCCTGTGAAAAAAAAAAATAGTTGAAAATATCAAGAACTAAATAGCAAACTTATAATATTTTTACTAGGGTAAACCATATAGTTAATGCCCACTTAACGACTTCAAACAGTTAGACATAAAAAACACACCATATTGTAGCTAGCAACTGTTTATTACAATTTTCTTATGAACTTATAGATTCTACTATAGACTATCAGATTCTACTATAGCTATCTATACTGGCCTACACGCGCAACCTTCCCCCTGATAGTGAGATCCTGGGGTCAGATATGGGGGTGTCTGTCGCTCAATATGGGGCTCGTGACGTGTGCTGTGGCAATTGTACCGGCACAGCTGAATGAAGTAGAGGAGGCCTAAAAAGGCCATGGTAGCGCCGGGGTCGCGGAAGATTGCGTCCACGTGTTCTCGTATCCCCGGCCGATGCGGCAGAGACAGGAGCAACGTGGGTTTTTAATGGGTACCCGTTTCTCACTGGGACTCCCAAATACCCATGCCGCTCGATATCCAGCGTTCCACAACGGCGTGATTTTCAAGGCATTTCCTGCTTCGCACAACCACTCTGTGGAACCAGCTGCCGCCGGCGATCTTTCGGAACCGTTACGACCTGGGAACCTGAACATCGTATTTTTCGGCGATTTGCCTAATTGTATGTTGTTAACATATTGAACCGCATTAATGGCTTTATGCAAATTTTCTCTAATATATTGAAATTGTGGTGTCTTTGGCTTTCTGAAAATAACGTTTTAGATGCACCTATTTATATATAAAGACTGTGAAGGAATTATGTTGTTATAATACAACACACAAGATATTGATAATACACTTCGACCTCGTTAAATTTCGACAATGATATTTATTGACCAGGCAATAACTATAGATATTAAGATATGGTAATTACGATCGGTGGGCAATAACTAAAAACAATTAAATTCAGGTTCAGTGATTGCCCACCGTTAAAATGATCGTCAGTATTTAATATTCCATACAGATAACCATGCAACACTAAGAATATATATTTCATTTTATCATAATTATATAAAAATAGTTGAATATCAAATAACAGTAAATAAAAAACAAGCTTTCAGCAAGTAATTTCTTATGAAAATTGATAAAATGCTTACATATTAGAGTAGCATGTTCACTGGTCTTTGAAAAATTTACCATTAGTATTTTTTTTTCTTTTAAGTTTTGCCAGGGACCGATTTTAAATGTACCCTAACTTAATTACAGCGCTATCTAGTGAAATCTATTCGACTAAAAACCATGTAAAGTTAACACATAACTATTTTTCCTTATAATAGGCAATAACTGTAAGTGGGCAATAACACTGGTTTACCCTACCAGTATTATTTTTCTAGAAGCCATTGATGTCAAGTATTTTGTACGACTTCCGGACAATATTTCTGTGCTGGACAATTCTCGATATTCAATATTTTATATCGATATATTTTCTACATGTTTTAATGTTCAATCTTAAGTGCAGAGATTAGCACTATAAAAAACTTTAAAATCGATATATCGGATCAAAAATCTTCACCATCCCTAGAAAACCAAATGTTATGGAAGCGTAAATAAAAAAAATATCGATATTATCGTATCGACTTTTTAAAAAAGTCGATACGATGATATATAATAGTGAATCGGATAACGGTAAATCGATATTTTTTTTATCCTTACTAATCCTTACTAATATTATAAAATGTGTATGTTTGAATGGATGTTTGTTACTCTTTCACGCAAACACATAGCATCAGAATAAGACATAGGCTATAATTTATACACATATTTTATGTATATCTGTCTTTATGTCAGAATTTTACGCCTTCAGCCTATTCTACGCAGACGTAGTCGCGGGCAGCAGCTAGTTATTCATATTTCCAAACCAATCAAAATTCCTGAAAAAGAATAGACATGAAGAAAAAAGTAATATTGGTTAGCAATCGACTCAATCACATACAATTTATTCGAACCAATAATCATCTGATATGAATATTAGGAGTATTTTCTGTTTAATGTGCTCCCCTGCACCTCCACTGCGTCTATTGTTGGGTACTGTCAGATTCATAGCTGAAGCAACTCTTTCTGAAAATACCGAAGAAGCCTGGCGAATTAGATACTAAAGGGCGACTTTTAAATTTCCCTTCTTTTTGAGGTTTTTTTTTTTTTTTGTAAATTTATTAATTTGCAATTGTATAAAATTGTGGAATATTAATCAGGAAGACGATTTGAAATCTGACATAAATATCACGTTAAATAGTTGAAGCATTTTTGATCAAATTTTTTTTTTTTAATTCAAAACTGGCACTTGACTGCCATCCCACCTGATGGTAAGTGGCGATGCAGCCGTTGATGGAAAGCGCACTTGCGCTTCTCATGATACTGAAGTTAACCAACGTATATATTATATTTGAAACTTTTTCAAACGATAATTTTTAAGAGAAAATATACAAAAACTGTACGTACTTAGAGTTTTAAAATTTCTACATGTGCAATTTTTTCTTTCTAACACAAATAATTGAGGAATTGCAAAAAAATAATTTACAAGTTAATTTGGATAAAACTAAATTTATAAAGTTCTATCAAAGATGTGCAAATGATTTAAATTTAAAAGTAATACAAAGAGGAAACCAAATTGAAAAAGTTGACTACACAAAGTTTTTAGGCTTGACAATCGACACTAGATTAACATGGACTTATCAATCGGACATAGTGTGTAACAAAATAAGTAAAGCGGCATATATTCTATGGAAATTGTCTAGCACCTTAAACATTGAATCACTGTTAACTGCATATTATGCCTATGTAGAATCGCATCTTAGATATGGCATCATATTCTGGGGAAATTGCAGCAAGAAAGAAAATATATTCAGGTCACAAAAAAAAATGCGTTAGAGCGATGTGTAAATTAAAAACGAGAGAAAGTTGTAAATCTTCTTTTATAAAATATAAAATATTAACCATGCCGTCGTTATACATATTTGAGAGTGCGATGTTTGTGAAAAATAACTTGTCTCTTTTCTCCAAGCCCAACCATGAGCGTAGCAGACGTGACTTACAAAAACTTTCTTTACCTAAAACTAATACTAAACTTATGAGCAAGAGTATACTCTGCATGGCACCAAAAATATATGATAGGCTCCCGAAAGAAATGAAGGAATTAAACACAAATCTATTTAAGAAAAAACTACGCGACATGTTAACAGAAAAATGTTATTACAGTATAAACGAATTTATGTCAAATTAATAATCTAAACGTATTCAGTGAATTAATAATGTGCAATTTTATCGAATTTTTTTTATTTTTTAGTCATTTAATTATTTGTCATTTTGTTCTCTGTTCTATTATTACTGTTTGTTAACTTACTTTTTTCATAGACATATGTTTTAATATTATTTTAATATTCTGTTATATAATTTTTTCAATTTTATTTTATGATTATAATAATTAAGAAATTTGAGAATGTATACTGACAACCTTTAAGCGAACATATCATATTTGCACACCCTACAAAATGGGTAGAATATAGCGATAAAAATTACTGTGTTGTACGCCTCATGCCTAACCTATATTTCGCAAATAAATACATTATTATTATGGGATATTCATTTGATTTCTCGTCTGATTGGGTTTATATATAAAAAATAAACATATAGATACATATTGTATAAATAAAATAAATATTATGCATAAAAATAAACATATGCATATAAAAATATACTACATATAATACACGTATAAATAGGACCCAACCAGACGGAAGCCCTCGGCAGGGGAGACCAAACGGCCGAGGGTTAGGGTGAAAGGGAGAGAAACCGGCGGACGATGCGGGCGGTATCGAGGAGCACCGCCTTCTGCATTTGAGCCTGGAGCGATCCGTCCCGGAGTCCCAGTCGCCTCAGATGTTTAGAGAGGCTGACTGGGATCAACCCACCTTTGTCAAGCGTGCAAAAAACACGTCACGAACTGACTGTTTCATGGCAGCCTCATCGATACACATGTTTTGTGACACACCCAGGTATCGGTATGTTTCAGCCTCAGAGAGGGTCCTTATGTTAACGGGCATACCGGTTACCGTTACCAATGTACCCGGTTTTCGAGACTATAGTTCCACAGCAGTTCCTCTAACGCCATCTAGTGTTGAATAGGGGGTTTTATGTCGTCTTTGTTCTTAAGTAGTTTTAATAGTTGACGCTAGATGGCGTTAGTTCCTTTGTGTGTTCATAACACTACTCCCCTCTTAGTGATGCTCGTCCCGAGCATCATTGTTACTGCCATGGTAACGCGCCAGACGGTCTATGTGTACCACTTTGAATGTCCCTCTTGGTTGCTTTTGAATCCTATAAGTCACATCATTCAGTCGGGTAACCACTTTGTATGGATCGTCCCACTTGGTCTGCAACTTTGGGGATTTCCCTTTCCGACGAGTTGGGTTATGCAGCCACACCAGTGACCCTTCCTCGAAGCCGTCCGTGTTCGATTTCCGGTCGTATCTGGTTTTCATGTTTTCACTTGACTGTAACCCATTTTCCCGAACCAAGGCGTGTATATAGCGCATTTTTTTCCTTAAATTGCAGACATAGTCTTGTACGGTCTCTGGTCCTTCCGGCGAACCTCCTGTCAATAGGTCCACTGGTAATCGTAGTTCTCTACCGTAATTGACATACGCCGGGGTAGCTTTTATGCTCTCATGCTCGGCGGTTCGGTACGACAGAAGGAAGAGTGGTATAAACTTGTCCCAATCCTTTTGTTTGTCGTCTACCAATTTCGCCAGATGCCTCTCAAGGGTCTGGTTAAATCTCTCAACCATTCCATCAGACTGTGGGTGGCACGCGGTGGTCCTCGTCTTATGCATGCCCAAAATTCTACACACTTCCTGGAATACTTGCGATTCGAAGTTCCTGCCCTGATCGGAATGGCTTTCTAGAGGCACACCAAAGCGACATATCACTTCTTCGACTAACTTAGAAGCGACTGTTGTAGCTTCTTGGTTTGGTATGGCGAACACTTCGGGCCATTTGGTGAAGTAGTCCATGACGACCATAAAATACTTGTTTACCCACTCCGTTACAGGAAATGGCCCAGCTACGTCAACTGCAATTCGTTCCCACGGTGCACCGACGTTATACAACCGCAGGTTCCCACGGCTTCTGGTCTGTGGTCCTTTTACAGCAGCGCAAGTAGTACATTTGCGGCACCAATCCTGTACATCATCTCGACAGTGCAACCAGTAGAATCGTTCTCGCACTTTTGTTAATGTCCTCTTGACACCTAGATGACCTCCTGATACGCCATCATGTATTTCACGGAGAACATCTGGTACTCTCGTTCTCGGGACAATTATCTGAAGATGGAACTCTCTGCCGTTAGTCTTCTCCCATTTCCGGTAGAGTATTCCGTTTTGAAGTATCAGACTGTCCCATTGCGCCCAGTACGCCTTTGTGACGGCGCCAGTGGGAGCAACCTCACTCCAGACTGGTTTTACGTCACCCCGTTTCTTCCATGTGATGATGTGCCGAAGGTCGTCATCTCTTTCTTGAGCCTCCCTCATAGCATTATTCTCCCAGAGACCCAAAGGACTTGTTCTCGTTAGCTTTAATGTTACTTCATTAGATTCCTGTTTGACGCAATGGTTGCAGTCTTCTGAACACGGCCTTCGTGAGAGTGCTTCGGCATTCCCATGCGTCTTTCGGCTGCGGTGTTCCGTCTTGAAGTCATCGAGTAGCTCAGTCACTGATTCGTAGTTGTCGCTGTTTCCTGGGGCTTCCTCCGCGTCAGCCAGAACTCGCCACTTAGTACCGGCTTTTATTCGTTTCCCTGAAGCCCCTTGCTTCTTCAACTCCTCTATTTGTTCCTCAATCCTTTTCATCCTTGACATCTGGGTCTCTTTCTGCGGACAGTTGAGCTGAAGATGGCCCCTCTCGCCGCACTTGTAGCACATGGGTCCAGAACTTCTCTTCGTAGGAGCCTTAACCTCCTTGAATTCCTCAGAGACGTCACGGATCTTATGGGTCTGCCGTATTTCATAGCGAACAGCCTCGACTTCCAAAGCGTGCGCCAATGCCTCCTTTAGTGAGGTATGGTGACGAAGCCTCACTGCAGCTCTGACCTCCAGGTCTTTGATTCCGTCCACAAATGCTTGAACAATATTCGTGTCTACCATCTTGGTGTCGGCTCCTGGGTGTGCCTTCCTGACGAGTTTTTCAATTTCCAACGCCCATTGTTGTAGTCCTTCTCCTGAGCGTTGGACTCGGTCACGCAGTTGGGCACGGAACACGTGCTCCAGGTGTCGCTCCCCGTATCTGGATTCAAGTGCCTCCATCAGGTCTTGGAACCCATTTCCTGTATGTGGCAGTGCTTCCAGGACCGACAAAGCTTGCCCTCTAAGCGCAACAGTGAGAGCGGTCAGGCATTGCTCTTCCGTCCAACCGTTTGCAGTAGCAACAGTCTGGAATTGCCGACGATAAGCGTGCCAAGAAGTAGTGCCGTCGTATGGCGGCACTTTCACTTTTGGTCCTTGTGCCACTCCAGTAGTGCCACTAGACATCGCGATTCCCGTGGTTTCAAGGCGCACTACTTTCTTCTGTAGTTCGGTGAGGCCGGTTTTCACATTTTCAACATTCAAACGTAACTCGGTAACTCGTTCTTCCACTACATCGACATCTTTTCGAAGTTTAATCACCGTGTTACTAACATCATTTATAGCCCAAAGCGCCTTTTCTTGGAGGTCTTTTTGTTGCTCTTGTGATTCTCGAATCGCTCTGATTTCAGCCTTTTGAAACTCTTGAATTGTAGTCAGCTTGCGTTCTTGTGACTCTTGCAAAGCGCCGAACTTGCGTTCTTGTGACTCTTGCAAAGCGCTAATTAGTTCAATTAAACATTCTAATTGAAGAGCCATTTCAGGGGCTGCAGAAGTTACGGTGCCGCTGGTGGGTGTGGCAAGGTGGGCGGGGCCAGTGGGCGTGGCCCGGTGGGTGGAGTCAGTGGGCGGTGCTTGCACCAAAAGGGGCGGGGCCTGCGCCCAAGTGGGCGGGGCTTGAGCCCTAGTGGGCGGGGCCTGAGCCCGAGTGGGTGGGGCTTGTGACTGAATGGGCGGAGTCTGAGGGGCGTGGTCAGTGGGCGTGGCCTGGTCGGTGGGGCCAGTGGGCGGGGCTTGTCCCGCAGTGGGTGGGGCTTGGTCCCCAGTGGGTGTGGCCTCCGCAGCTCGTGCCCTTGTCCTGACACCCTCCTTGAAGTCCTCTCTCGGAGTCAATGGCATCTCCAAATCCCACTTCTGACACCAGTTGTTACGTGTTAGGGGTTCGAAGGATTTGGAGAGAAAGACCTGCTGACTCTTTTGAAGACTTTATTCACTAGAACTAGGTCCAACACAAAGCA